GTGGCAACACAGGAGGTGGGGGGCAAACATTCCCTACAATATCCCCACATCCAACAACAGACACTTTCGGAGGCGAAGGTGGTGGTGGACCCGGTGGAGGCCTAGGGACAAACAGTTCAACCAAAGGCTCTGGCACCGAAACAAAGGAACTTTGTGACCCTTGCAGGGATGGTCCATTTTTCATGCCATCCTCTTTTCCACCAACAACTCCCAAACCCTCACAACACTCATCAAAAACCATCTTTTGTCCTACTTCCCTTTTCGGTTCGGACTTCAAAGACAGCACACCTTGCCGAAACTTTTCCTCGGCTTCACGCAAACACCTAAGCCTAAAGAGCTCAACAGGATCCATTTCAACATACCCTTTTTGTGGTGTGGTGGTGTTTGACACTGACTGCAGTGGCTCCTGAATCCCAGCGCTAAATCCAAGTTGCGAAGCATCCTGAAACCCAGCACTAAAACCAAGTCGCATAAGGTCCTGACCTTCATAGCCAGGCCCATAAGCTTCTCGAAGAGCTTCACGTTCGCAGTCAGGACTCCAAAACGGGTTCACTTGGCTTTGGACCCCCAAACCACTAGGCATTGATCCCTCTACCCCTTGGCCATGAACAACATGTTTTTCACTACCATGTTGCACCACATTTTTGGGGATTTCATTTTTCCCTACAACATCACCGGTGACCCACATTTGAGGAGGGTTTTCACCAACAACATTCCTGTCCAACCCACTCGGCTGGCCAGGCTCATTTTTCGCCTGCCGAACCCTTGAACCCTGGGTAACTTGTTGGGTCCCACCGTTTCCCTTTCCCGTGGCAACATGGCCTCCTTGACCTTTACCGTTACCATTTTGGGGGGAACCAGAGGCATTCCCATCAGTACCATCGTTTCTACGGGCATCAGAACTCGGTTCAGACACAACAACACGTTTCACTTCAGGATTTTCTCCCTTTACCTCGAGGTTCTTTTCGCCTTTAGTAGTTTCACCTCTAACTGGCTCAAGAAAATCACCCGGAGAGAAGGACATCGGTGGACCTATGGGTTGCAAACCAGCTAACAAGTCACCCCCAGAAACACCAGACACCATCCCAGTATTCCCAGGCACAGCTGTTGCCCCAGAAGTCCCAGTCGCTGCCACGTCGTCCACCAACCGCTGCAACTGCGCATCAGCCGCTTCATCAGCCAGCGCTTGAGCTGCACGCCGCTGCAAGGACGAATCTCGCCGTCGGCTCAACTCCATGCCAGGTAGAGTCACTTTGGGCTCATAACCCGTGGTTTCACAGGCTGCAACTTCGCAGCTGCTGGTGCCCTCTTTTTTGCAAGAGGCACCTTGAGCCATTTGTTCAATGGCGTGTCATCCTTGTGCAGGTGGCCATGTCATGTTACATGCCACCCAACTTTTGAACCTTATGGTCTTTTGACCACACATGACTGCAAATGGAGTTATGGCTCGATCAAATGAACCACAGAAACAATTGGGCGATTTTCGTAATTCATTGACTTAAGCCAGCTTGCAGACGCCCTTGTGTCTCACCACAGTGCGAACTCCATGCAGGTCGGAAAACGGAAAATGGAATAACAAAGGGGTTTTGAACACTGCTCATATGGAAGTTTCCGAAGTCATGGGGTACCCCAGTCATCATCCAAGTCATGGATGACCATTTTGGGACTGAAGCAACCATGGTGACTTTGGGATCCCCCATTTTAAGAACCCTCGATGTTTTACCATTTAGTTATTTATATATATATATATATTTATTTATTTATTTATTATTGCAAGCATTGTGATTTTAATGGGATATGTGCCCAGCTATAATGACAAATTGAGTGATCAACCATAATGTACCAAGATATGCCATGATATACCCTAACCAACAATATGGGGATGTAATGTGATATTAATCTGGCATCGGAGAATATGGAATTAGTTCAATCTTGAGTGATACCTGGCCAAGCAGGAATAGCATTGGAATATATTATATGCTGTATCCTGGGGTAAAACTAACATAGATGTGAAAAAAAACAATTGTCCCCCCACGAAAGTGATCTCAAAACCGTGTTTTTTCCACATCTATATTAGTTTGCAAGAAGGTACGTATGTTCTACTGGCATCACAAGTTCTACATGCCCTTTGGTCGCGACGTCACAGTAGATGGTGCATATGTATAGAGATTAATATAGGAACCATCCCCAGATTTGCAAACTTATCAGCTTAGTGAATTATCATATCTTTGCGCACATACAGTATGATACAACTATATTGTGTGTTTATTGTACAACCAAGACAAAGTAATGAGAGCAATAACATTTCAATATCCGTCAAAAAGTTTCCAAACCTTGGGGAGCTGAGCAAGCCGCTACTTCGCCCTTGCCGCTTAGCCGCTTAGCCGGCTTAGGCTTTGCCATGGGTAAGGCGGGTAAGATGGGTAAGAGAGCTGCTTCAGCTAAACGGAATCCATGTTGCGATTCCAATCCGTTCGAAGCCGTGACCCACTTCAAGGACAGAATGAAGTGCAAGGCAAATTATGACATTGAGAAACGGCGTGCCCTCCAGGGCAAGCCATGGTACCGATTGACACTGATCTGTTTCGCAAGAGATGCAAAATTGAATGCGCGGCCAAGCGCTGCTACCCTCGGGGTAATTTAACGTAGCTATTGAAAATTGCCATTTATAGTTGATTTACCCATTATATAAACATGGTGATTTTCCATGATTTTCCATAGTTATGTTAGTTTACCAGAGGGTACGTGCGCTCTTGGAAGGAACTGAACTCAAGCCTTGTCACCAGTGACTGCGGGATGCATCAAGAACGTTGAGTCTCTGTATCATCAACCTTGGATAGGTAGTCATCCTTCAATATGTTGCTATAAATGGGAGATAGCGCCTTTGAAATAACCATAACCGGGAAAATGTTGGACTACCAAAGATTGACCACGGTATATGTGGAAAAAATGTAGCACATTGAGGAGAGATGACTAAAGCCGGCGCTGCTTTGATGTCTCCTTGAAACGTTCCCGAGGGGCTGTATCACAGGTTATCCTCCTAGACATCGTACGTTGAGCCAAACGTCGTTCCGAAAAGGAGCCGGTTGCCCCTGGAATGTCTCCCACTGGTCACTTCACCGGCATTTTTGTATATTTTCAGAAGCAAATCAACAGACCTGGATCTGCCCCGCATTTTCCCGAATTTCAAGATTTTCCTTACCCCTGGACCTACAATAAAATGACACATTGGATGGACATTTCACAGGATTTTTTGCTTTGATGGCCCCTAAGGTACCACCCCAAAGAAACCAACCAGGGGTTTCGAAATATCCGGGGCTGAGATCATCCCTATCCATAGCTCCAATCACCAACGTTCGCATTATCCCATCATGACCGGGAACCCCGGTCACCATGCTGGTTTCAAAAGTCATGGTCATCCATGCCTTGAGGTCTTTAAAAGCGAACACTACTTGGATTTGCATTTGGAAAGACATCATATGGACGAGGCCCCGCAAAAACTTGCACCAAGGGGATGGGTTAAGACGATGGGTACAACTTAATACAGCTGATTTTGTTGCTATAAATGGGAATATGTGATCTTAACCAACCAAATACTCTAGTTTGTAAATACTATAGTTGCTTGCAGGGAAAAAACATATCGGCCATGGCTTTGTACGTGTTTCTTGAAAGGTCTAGCCAATGTTTTGACATGTCTATATGATTCTATGTGTATATTTATGTGTATCTGTATCTAGTTGGTGGTTTGGAACATGTTTTAATTTTCCATATATTGGGAATGTCATCATCCCAACTGAATTTCATATTTTTCAGATGGTACAGTAGGTATACCACCGACCAGATAGATAGATAGATAGATAGATATATATATATATAGCCGCCTTTCCTTCGCAACAAAATGGAGTTTGTCCTAACTTTCCAAGGCATAATTTTCAGAAACCGCTGGTCTCTAAACGACTGAATCGACAGAGGACAAAAACACCGGTAACGTTTAAAAAAACAATAAGCACGTCCTTGACATGATAGTCCATGAATTTGTGTACTAAATATTGGTTATGGTGCTTTGGGAGTTGGCTGATTTGTAATAATGTGTTCGGGTGGTTGCTCACCATTGAGAAAGCTCTAAAACCCATCTAATTACCTCAACATCAACATATGCAATGAAATACTGTAGATTGCCGCTCATTGTATGTTGGGTTACGTCGGAAACTGTTTCTAGTTGAATTTTCATGGTTGTTGCCAAACTTGCCAGGTTTATTTTCAGAGTCCGTGTGACTGTGGTTAAAGTTTGGTGATTGAAATCCATAGCAGGTTGTTTTTGATTTAATTCTCTCAGCAGGGTTTGGTTTTTCGCGATAGTTTGCATTGTTTTGCATTGTTTTGCCATTTCCACTGTGGGATTATGTACCATGATTCTTTTGCTTCTCACACGTGTGAGAAGAACGCATAGATTTCATATCCCATCCCCCCAAAAAAACAAAAACAACGACCTCATGGGACCCAAAGTCGAAATTCCGATGTCAACATTTGGGCCATGGATTTAGTGAAATACATTAGCTATAAGAATTATAATAACCTATAACCATGGCTATAAAAATACCATTTTGGGCCATAATAACTGTTTATAGCTGAGGTATAACCCAACAGAATTCATGTTGTGAATCTGAAGTTCCGCTTGTTATCATGGGGACTTCACTCACCCCACGAAGGTGACACCTTCGATGGCTCAGATTCGCCGAATGGCCCAAACATTGTTGGGGGTGCATCCGACGTAAATCTGCAAAATCCAGTTGGATTAATGGAATATCCCCACTTATGGGATTAATTATTATGGATTATATGGGTATATATATATACATGGATTATAAGCCACTTACTAAATGGGATGCACATCCAGGACTGGTATTAACAATCCGAGTATAATCACTGAACAATTGCAGCCATTGGGTCGGCTCTTGAAAACCTGGGTGCGGCACTGACCCGCGCAACGCGACACGGCCATGGCACGAGAGTCGCGTCAAGTACTGGTCGATGAGGACGGTGATTAAACCCAGTTGAGCAGGGGCTTGGGGGCTGGGGGCCGCATGTCTTTAAGCCATCGCAGCTACGGGAACTTCATTGGTAGATGTGATGATGACGGTTGATCTGGTCGGGGTCGGGGTTTGTACCCAATACTTGTATGTTGGGGATAATGATTATCCATCGGCGAGAAATCTCTATTAACCAACCAGTAAAGTGACATGACAAAGGGTTTCGAAATGTTTTGAAGACTGCAAGTGGGTTTGTTTTAAAACAGGGTATATTCCAAATTTGCCATTTCATTGGGAAATGATTAGGATGCATCAAATTTGGGTACAGCGGAACCGTTAGATAAGAACCGATTGAGAATTTTCCAGCCTACCCTGGGGTTCTTAAGTGCTATAGTATAGGTGGAAAATATGGGAATTATGAACGAGGGTACCCTCAAGTTCTTAACTTGTTATTTCTTAAGGGGTTCATATGGTGATGGTTTTGCCAATTCATTTTGACGTGGTATTGCGTTGCAAAGGAGGCGTGGGGAAGATTACACTTTTTAGGTCCCGAAAAGTTGTTTCAGGTGCAGACATTCCAAACAGAGCTATAGGCCAGATATTCCACCATGCCAGGGCTTGAAAGATCTTGAAAGTTTATTTTGGCGTGGTATTAGGTTGCAAAGGAGGCGAGGGAAAGAAAAACTTGTTAGGCCCCGAACAGTTTTTTCAGGTGCAGGCCTTCCAAACAGAGCTAAGGGCCGAGTATCCCACCATGCCAGGGCTTGAACATTTATTTTGGCACCGTATTAGGTTGTAAAGGAGGCGGGGGGAAGAAAAAAACTTTTTAGGCCCCGAAAAGTTTTTTCAGGTACAGGCTTCCAAGCAGAGCTAAGGCAAGCCAAGGCAAGCCAAGACAAGCCAACACAAGCCAAGGGTAGCCTCCGAGGCCAGGTGACCCTCAGTGAGTCTGGCTAGTGTCTAGCTCAGACTGTTGTGCGGGCCGTGTGAAAGTTCGATTCCCTGTAGCGCTACGGGTTTGCTTGCTTCTTAGTGCGTGCTTTGTTGCTGATATAATCTTATATACATAATAATATTGAATGTTTGGTATAATGATACGCGTTCAAAGAAATAAGAACCAGTGGCTAGAATCCAGGGTAGCCTGGGGTTCTTATTTCAAGTAGCTGGCAGAAAGGCTTGAATCCAGCAATCCAGCCCCTGAAGTTCTTATTGCAGTAGGTTCTTAAACAGTGGTACCTTAGTGTATAAGCAATCTTTCATTCTGCGATTTCAGATGCAATTGGGGAACCATGATTATGAACCACTTGCTAACAGGGATGCGCATCCAAGTAGCTTACTTGCAACCATTGATTTTTTCGCTAGTTGAGATCTCCCGATGTCCCAGGACACGAGTTGGGTGCATTGAATTTCTGCTGAAAGTATCTGAAGAGTTACCCTTTGGTAAACTAACATTAATAACTATGGAAAACCACCACTTTTAATAGGTAAATCAACTACAAATGGGTCATTTTCAATAGTTACGTTAAATTACCGGGGGTACCCTCTGTCAATCAAACGTGGCCTTTCTCAATCACCCGAGCCAGCCATGCAGGTTTCGCAGGTTGGGAAAATGGTCGAACTAACTGTTTTTTTCCAGCAAACCATGTTTGATGATACCCGGGAGTCATCCACTATTGTTGGTTATCCCATTATTATTGACCATTATTGACCACTCATGACAATTTTTGACCATATGTGATCATTATTGACAATTACTGACCACTATTTACCTTTATCAGCAATTATTGACCATTATCAGCAATTATTGACCATTATTGACCGTTATCGGCCATTATTGACAATTTTCAGCAATTATCAACCATCATTAACAATTATTAATCATTAATATTAACCATGGATTCCATATGTTTTCTTATCTGTAGTTGTGCCTTCAGTTTTGAAGCATCTCCGAAGACAACCGTTCTAAACATTGACAGCTGCAGTTGGGTACCCTCTGGTAATTTGTTACAGTTTGCTATTGAACATGGCCATAGAAACAGTCAAAGATTTACCCCATTTTCAACATGGTGCACCTCTATCGTTACACGTGCACCTCCTCAGGTTCCCATATCCCACAGATATCCCACTGGAGTTCTTTGTTTGTTGAGGTCCTGCAAGTCACTGCTTGGTTTGGAACCATGGTTTTTTTTTTAATGTCCATATCTTGAGAATTTCAAAATCCCAACTGACAAACTCATATTTTTCAGAGGGGTAGGCTCAACCACCAACCACCAACCACTGAAACGTGTCGCGTTTTCCCAGCAATGCCGGTGTTTTTCGAAAGGAGATTTCAACGATGTCCACAGATGAGGATTTGGGGGTCGTGAAGGAGAGGGATCATCAAGGGGAACCATGGCTCTCGGAAAAACCATGGACGAAATTTAGTTGGGTAATGTTATTGGTACCAATGGGTATACTGGGTAATTTTATACTACTTTAGTTGGATATACTACTATGGCTAAGGACTGCTAAGGCTAGCAGTTCTTGGTATAGTATGGTATAGTGCAGTGTGCGGTACTTATAGAATGGACGGTCATTCTGCTGTTTTGGTTTAGTCTAGATGTGGTGTGGCGTGGGTTTGCTCAAAGCCGAAATACCAGTTATACCCTCTGGTAATTTAACATAGCTATTGAAAAATCGCATTTTTATTGGGTCAATCAACTATAAATGGGCCATTTTCAATAGCTATGCTAGTTTACCAGAGGGTAACTACTTATACATGGGGTGATCATTCCACAAAATGGGTGACTTACTGACATCCATAACTGGTATTTCGGGCCATAACGGTGATCAACCGCAACGCAAAGGCCGCTTCGCTGGTGAAACCACTTGGATGGCGGTGAATTTGCCAAAGATTTCTTCACGGTCCCATATGCCCCATGTATGGTATATTTACCTACATTTCTGGTTGGTGGGTTGGAACATGTTTTATGTTTCCATATATTGGGAAGAATAGTTACTCCAATCTGTAAGTGTTTTAATCCCATATATATATAATTATATATATATATCATATTCATCATTATCTGTTTGAATCCCCATTTGTACTCCTGTTCTTCTGTCGAAGCACAGGCTGAGTCGGCATTTTAGTTCCAAGGTTTGTCATCCCCCCTTATAAAGTGATGATGAGATTCTTCCCCAGTTATAAGTAGATTAAGCCTATCCCATTTATAGCTGGGCTATAGTAGGGTTATAACCCATTTACGAATTCTGATTGGTGGTTTGGACGATTTTTTATGACTTTCCATTCAGTTGGGAATCATAATCCCAACTGTTACTCACTCCATCATTTTTCAGAGGGGTAGGTATACCACCAACCAGATCAATGCTTGGATTTCTATCCCACTGATCCTTTCTCCATTCCAATGATAGAGACTCTGGATCCATCCAGTGATCCTTGAGGCCTTGAGGCCCCCTCTGGCCTAGGGCTGTTCCGTCAAAAGTGTTTCGTGGGGTCTCGCAGGAAAAGCAGGCCTGGCGCGAAAAGTACATCGTACCCTTTGTCCCTTTGTTGGCATTACGACGTAGACATGGAAAAGCTATGCAATAAGAACACGTTAAACGTGTAACATGATCTACAAATGATGGATCTTCCATATCTATGTTGAACTACTAGTGGGTGATCAAGCAAAAGCTGTTTCCGGGTCAGATGTACGATCCAGGGCGGCACTTGTTAAGCAGGTCTTGGTTATGTTCAGTAGCAAACCTTCTTATTTTCAGGTACTGTAGTCAAGTAATCCGAATTTTCGCAGATACCCACTTCATCTCACTTCATTTTTCAACTATCAGATACAAGATGGCACCCCCTCAATTATAAGTTGGTTTATAAACGTTTATAACCCCATCAAAATATTGTTATTTGAGTATCACACACCAACTTGTTATTGCAGTTATTTGCACCAACTTAGCAAACTAATTATGGGCCCCATCCTGTATATTCATGAAGTCGAACAAAGAATGTGGATGTCGTCATTGACAACGTCTTGGGCCTGGCCTATCCTTCTGTAAAATCGAGATCAGCAAGTTGGTGAATCAGGCCGAAGAGAAAATATAGAGAAACTATAGAACAACAGATAGATCAATGAAAGGTAGAACAACAGATAGGGAATCAGAAAGTATGTTTTGAGAAACTATAGAAACAATAGTTGGTAAAGGTTTGAAACCATTTTGTTCTGACTAGAACATTGATTCAATGGGAATTCCAGGATCCTAAATTGGAGGTACTGTACCATATAAGGCCATGTTTTGTGGGGATATTCCCTTACATAGGCCTTATATAGGCCTTATATATGATAGGTACCTCCAATTTAGGATCCTGGAATGGCCATTGATTGATCTTGCACTGCAAATAGTGTCTTGCCAGCATTGTTCTCTGAATAAATGTCATGGTTTTATTTATTTGAATTGCAAGGGTAAAGGTGTGTCAATTTCAGCTTTGATAGATTACAATTTCTTACATACTCCAGGCTGTTCCGAGTTCAGATCTGGAAAAAAAATAGCAATTTCAAAATATCCGACCTGTTGGTTTGTTATTCTTTGTTCGACCAGTTGGTGGGTCTAAGGACCACATAGGACCACCTGCTTTCAGAAAGGGACCACCTGGCCACCCGGGATGATTTTTTAGCGTAGCTGTTGGACACGTCATCTGGGTAAACCTTGGAGAATTTGGTGCTTGATGATTCTTCTATATCTTTGGGGATATCATCCTGAAGTAGAGGGGGAAAAACCAGTTCAAAATATAAAATGCAATTTCAATTCTGTAATATGTCAATCAGATTTCAAGTTTTGGTATGGAATTTTTGAGACATCCATATTCTATCTACTCCAGGACGACTATTACATACAGACACTATGAACCTAAACATATCCAGTGTTTGCAGGCTCTCCAACGTTGGCCATGACGTGGTGCACGACGTGGTGCAATGGTTTCAAATGCACTGCGCCATTATCCCAAACAGCAGCTTTCGTAAACATTGGATGTCTGAAAGAACGGGGAAGCCGGCTTTAAAGCATCTTGTTATACCATATTGTTTGTTTAAACTTATATCATCAGTTTTTTATTTGTAGCGTTTGGCAATTCAACATAGCTCTGGAACATCACTGTCTTGAAAATGGAACTCATTTTCACTAAGTGGGCCATGTTCCAGAACATCAAAACTATGTTTCAATGGATTGGTTTAAGGGAAAATCTTAACAGGAAACCATCGATTTTCTCCTTAAATATGGGGTGTGCCTGTAAATTTTCCCCTGAAACCAATCCATTGATCATGATATACCCATGATATTAGTGACCCATCATATATCCATTATATACCCATTGAGTGTTGGATTTCCCTAAAAATGAAAAAAATCGCATCTGGCAGCATCCCATCGACGGCGCTGAGGTCTTCATTGGCTTTATCGTCATCAGAGCGTTGGACCGGGAATGGATTTCGATGGATTTCTGAAGTACCCAAAGATAGACACGGATTTCTATAGATTTTCTATGGATTTCTACGGATTTCTATGGATTTTCTATGAATTTCTATGGATTTCTATGGATTTTTTATGAATTTCTATGGATTTCTACGGATTTCTATGAATTTCTATGGATTTCTATGGATTTTCTATGAATTTCTATGGATTTCTACGGATTTCTATGAATTTCTATGGATTTCTATGGATTTTCTATGAATTTCTTTTGATTTCTATGGACTTTCTATGTGGCTACTAATATCCCATTTAATCATCACGTTTCAATACGTTTCATACAGTTAAATCACCAATTATGCCTTTCCCCCATAAAATAAACACGGCCCAGAACCATGGTCTAGTAGCGGACGCATACTCGTACCCTCTGGTAAACGTTTACATAACAAACTGGAAAATCACAATTTTTGATGGCTAAATCATCAATTTCTATGGCCATTTTCAATAGCTATGTTAAAATACCAGAAGATAACTATAGATATATATATATATAGATATATATATATATATATATTAATATATATATATATATTAATATATATATATATATATATTACCATTAATGTCCCATTCATATTCCATTAACATCCCATTTCATCACCCTTGACTATAGGGCTATGTTAGTTTACCAGACCCATACGCTCCATGTATGGTATATTTACCTACATTTGGGTGATTTTTAGGGTAAATGTTGGTAAATATTCCATACATGGAGCATATGGGAGAGGGTAATTGTTTTCATTTTTCCGGGGGTGTTAGATCTGAAAGGGGGATGGGATTATTCCATTGATAGCCTAAAAAGGCCATCATGGATTGGCTTGTTGGGGAAAATCTTAACCGGAAACCATCGATTTTCTCCTTAAATATGGGGTTTTCTTGTAATTTTTCCCCTAAAACCAATCCCATGATGTTAGTGACCCATCATATATCCATTATATATATATATATACCCACGATATCCCGTATTTTTTCCCTTATATAAATCCATTGATTTACCGTTTGAAGGACCGCATTTTTCTCTACCGCGTGCAAAAGTCCATGGCGGATTATACAGTGACTGGAACGACTGGAGCCCACGTGTGTCGAGGTATTTGTCGAACAATCTGAGCCATTAAAATTACCTCGTTGATTGGTTATGAAATAGGGAGTCATACCACCTGGGTTATTGGATTATCGCAACCCATAGCAGGGAAACCTATCAGCCAACTACAGTGAGATGGGATAGCTTTTGATGGCTCAATAATTGTGGTTTCAATCAACGCAATGGGGTGATATACTTAGGACATCATAGGCAAATATAGGCAGTAGAACCAACTAATATATGGTTGGTATTGGTATTATATTTTGTTCCCGTGACTTCGCACCCCAAAATCCGCACACTTGCTGATTTTGAGGTGGTTTAACAAAGAGACATCCTATATGTTACGAAACACCCCTGAGGCAATCATAGTGGATCTATCCATTTTCGTGGTCGAATTTGAACGTCGGAATTTCATAGGCTTAATAGATTTAATCCCCAATGCTATCCCCAATGGGCATGGTACCCCTGTGGTGAAATTCCGCCGAGAAGAGATCGAGGTGGCTCACCAGCAATGTTTCAAATATAGCAATGGAAAATTATGTCTTGAACAGGCACGAAAAAAAATTGATCAATCATGATCCTATCTGGCTGAAATGGCCACATGAACCAACAAAGATGTACTTGGGTATTCATCCAAGTACGCAAGTGGGCACTCACCATATTATACCGCAGTTATAAACGACTTGTTGGTTGGGAAATAATCAAGCAAGAACGCATTTGATGAATAAATCGAGCCATCGAATAGCAAGCAGTGCATCTTCACCAACGCTATAGTGACCCCACCAACTGATTCATTTTTGTTGGAACATCTTCAATTTTCAGTCAGTACATGACGTAAATACCTAACTCAACCAAAAAGGAACTTGGTTAGAACCCATCTTACCATATATAGATATGTCTACCAGTATCTACCATATAAGGTTATAAAGCAGCTTACCTATCATAAAACAAACAGTTTGTTGGTTAGGTCCGGAAATATCTACAGTTTTGATGGTCAAATCCTAATGTTCCATACGTTTTAGAGATTGGATACCATTTTGTTCCCACAACATTGGTGAAATCCCGACATTCAGAAAACGTACCGTTGATGGTTAAGAAACCAAAGTGTTCTCACATGTTTGAGGGAACCAAATCCCATGAAACCCCATTTTTTCATCTTTAAATCACCATTTTCCCGCAGGTGAATGCTGGTGAAATGATCATGGGATCCACACGTTTGTAATGGTTAAATCCACACCTTCCCTACAGTTTTTGCTTTGATGCTCATATTTAATTGTCCAAGATATGCTGAAATCCTAATCCAATATGTTTTAGTGGTGAAATCCCCTATTTTTCATATTTGTCCCACATGTTTATGTGAAAAATCCCTACATTACCACATGATTGATTGTGAAAATCCTACTGAGGATGGGCTGTGAAATCCGATAAACCACCAATTTTGGATGGTTGAAACCCCTATAAATCATGGGATCAACGAGATAAAGCATCTATCAACTGGTGCAGGACTTCGCAACCATCCACAGTATTTTCAGACAAAGCTACAGGATGGTGCATCCCAGGTATGTTTGTTGGTTCATAAACCACCAATCAAACCCTAAAAACCCTAAAAACCATAAACAATAAACCATAACCCATAACCATGAACCATAACACATATAGACCATGTTCCAGATCTGGCATCAATCTAACAAGGCCATCTTAATGAGCATCTATTGGCCTCCCATGGTACAGGTACCACCCGGGGGCCGGGAAAACCGGGGAGGGGGTTCGGGGAGACAAGCCTCCAAGGGTGATTCGAATATGAAAAGAGTAAGAAATCAGTTGGTAAATTAAGAGTTGGACCCTGAGAATGATCATTTTCTAGTGGAATAAAATGGAATGTCAATCTTCCAACCCCGATGAATGGCAGGGTCGAACTGTTCATTTACTGGAGGATAACTGAGAAATATCATCATCTAATAAACCAGGAAAATCAATTGAAAGCACAATCAGTTGAAAGCACAATTAATTGATAACACATGAATTTTTGGTTCTGGCCAATATGTGTTTTTCAACTGTCAAGTTCATCATGGTGACAAACCCGACGGCTTTGAAAGATTGGTTCCATATTAGCGCGGTTTTTGCTGGGAACATTGGCCAGAAAAGGGCTGTTTCTTTTCCTTGCAACTTAACCAGTTGCCTTTCCATTGATCACGATTCCAACGGAGGCTAATTCCTGAAAGATAAGGAGAAATCGGAGTTTTACAGGTAAATCAACATAAATCAATATAAACCATCTGGGTATGGATCAATACCTATGAAAATACCATTTTTAGGGGGATGAACATCCATAAATCCCAGCTATCTTGATGTGAACAGAAGGGGTACAAGGTTTTGACACACTGCCATATCATGAAGCATATGCTCATTTTGCTTGAATTCCATTTTTGCGATATATAATATATTATAATATGCAATGATAATTCAACCAATCAACTATAATAAAATTGCATATCTGGTTGGTGGTTTGGAACATTTTTTATTTCCCCAATGGTTGGGATGATGATCCAGTCTGACTAATATTTTTCAGGGGTGTTGAAACCACCAACCAGTATATTACTTTATTATGTAATCTAATAATTATTCACGTAATTGAAAAATATCTGAACATTCACCATTTTGAAGAGGTGAATTGGAAATCATCCACATCAAAAAATGACCATTTTCATCCATCTGTTCCATTGCTATGTTCACCTGCGAGAATTTCCCAAATCGATCCCTGCATTTTCACGCAGGTCATGTGTTTCTTGGTCTCGTTGGCCTATGTCTTCAGAAAGCGGCAGAGTTACATGGCGGTGTCGATGAAATTCGCCTTTTGCACAGTCATGGGGATAAAACATGATAACGTTCCAACACCAACAAAAGGGGGTTTTGCCCACTGAAAAGGAGTATTTTATAATATCTGTTGTACGTATATATATATATTTATATTTATATTTATATATTTATATACATATATCAATGATAACCATTTGACACCCAAAAAATGGTGTTGCCAATAATGTGGGTAAAACAATGCCATAAACCATCCGCCAGTCATCACCATTTTGATCGGTGATATAAACCATTCCCGTCATGGATGGCTTATAACATTATTTTACCATGTTTTACCCACATGAGCTACGTTTTTTTTTAATATAAAAGGGTTTATATAGAGTCTAAACTGGATGTTGCTTTTGGTGTGGTTTTACCTGGCTGGCGTAAGGATTGCGTAGGATTGGCGTAGGCATTTTTCAAGGTTCCAAATATCTTCTGGTTTGCGTAGGCAACATTTCATTGTATTTCAAATGCTCGTACATGATCGGCGTTGGAATCTCACGCTTTAAAATTGATTCAATGTTATCCACAAAAGGTTCAAAGGCACCGGGTTCATTCATGGATAGTTGTCTATACGAACAAACCGTGGAACTTGCCCGGAAGAGCAGCTATACAAAGGCAGCGGAGCAGCTTAAACCGTCTTGATGTTCTTCGCTTTCCACCTGCTTGTTGCTAGATGGGCCATATTAGCTCTTGCTTAAGAGGAATGTTTCACCATATTCCTGCCAGGAGGCCCTTGGAACAGGCGTAGGCTTCGCGTAGACTTCGCGTAGGCACCGCGTAGGCTCGGGTGCCCGGACTGACCACCAGCCCACGTCCGCACCAGTCCATATTCGACACATTGAACCGCCCAGAACTGCCCTTCACCAAGCTAGCGACAGTCGAACACGTCGCCTGGCTTGACTCCAGCATAGTCAAAAGTTACTAGCTGAGTCTTCAGTGATTTATCATGATTTATCCACCAGATGTTTAGTGTGCGCTTTGGGACCTGGTTGCTGGTGCGGCTGCTGCACATGGGTGTGGCTGCAAGATGTCTATGGGCGCTTTGGAGCCTGGGCGCTCGTGCTGCAAAAATGTGAATGGGACTGTGGTCGCGTAGGCAAAAGTTCCGTTTCCAACCTTCCAAAAGCAAACAGAAGTGTGACGGCGTAGGCAAAAACATACATTGTGGCGTCGCTTTATGCGGGCGTTGGGCCTGCGTAGGCACACCTTCAAAGGGATGAGCCGCGTAGGCTCCCACTGTGGCCGCGTAGGCATTGCGTAGACAGTGGCGTAGGCAGCACAGGAGTAGACGGACCCAGACAACAAAAAAAACACAGCTCACATTAGTATTTTATAATATTTTATATCAATGATAAACTCTTGGTATTGCCGCAACCTACAATCCACAAACCGTACCAGTTTTGGTTTCAATCAGTTTTGGTTTCAATGGCGGTTTTTAGCGGAACTATCTTTTGGATTATTTATAAATATACACTGTACATCATAGATGAATAGGATTAATGTTATGTGGGATCCACATGGATCTACCATACTTGGGTGAAAAAAAACGCTACCACTGACCACAAATAGAGGGGCACTTTTGAGGTTGAATCGCAGGGCTACCTTCATTTTCGCTGAGCAGTTGTCAGTTTTTAGAGGGCGATTTCATCGGGATAATGCAGCCTTCTTCATTCCATTAACGTACCCAGCCCGACAGAAGTAGACAAGTTTCATTCCAAAGGATCCCTTGTATATTACGCAACTTTGATTTCAATTCAATTGGTGTGTTGGCTTAATAATGTTCCATCCGACAACCACATGGTTTATATCAGTTTATATCATAGCATTGTTTAGTTGAACTGAATCACAAGTGTTTGTCTTTCAAAAATCTTACCTCGTTTTTCTTGAATCAATCGGTGCTGGTCGAACTTCCCAATGGCCCTCCAAACATCACATTTGTTGCTCTTTCTGTTGCTCCAAAAAGCCTGTTCCGCGCTAGGTCAACCTTGGATGAGTAGTTTAATCCCTTAATATTTTGCTATAGGAACATCATCTAACCTTAAATATCTATCTTTTGCAGGGTATCTAAGATTGGCCATGTAATTTGGTTGCAAAAAAATACGAATCTTTTTGTGGTTTATGATCAACTCAATGATAAACCAACATCCAGGACATGTTCTGAGATTCTGAGGTGATAAATCCTACAACATGGCCTGGTTTTCGCCCTTCAGCGAACGCGCCAGTTCGCAGGGCGCCGCCGGGTCGCCCAGTTGATTTTTTTTAGATTTTTCATGAAAGAAACCATCCATTTGGGGGTAAGCCCATGACCATGGAACCCAAATAGGTCAGCTCAGCCCAGTTTGACCATTGATAACCGGGGTGAACTAAGCCATTTAGGAAGTGGAATGAGCCACCAAGTATCCTCCATTGATCATAGATCGCAAATGAGCAGTACTTTTCAAATTCATCGGCTAGCTGATGATTGTGGTCATTGAATAGAGATCTTAAGTACCCGAAGATGGGGACTTTTCAGTGGATATCATTGATAAATTATGGTTAGTTGATGATTAGTTCCGGGATTACACTAGTGGGAAGTCCCATGAAGTCGCCATGTTTGATATTGTTTGCCAGGAATTTCAATGCATATGATTGACATGATCGACTTGTAGGCGGAGAGTGACGGATATAGATTGATGATTTTCTATTGTGCCCACCACATCAAAATTAAACAGTTCAAAGGAATCCAAGCACAAATGTTATCACAAATATATATATATATATTATATTATATATATATCATACACAAATACATTAATTAATATGTATTTGAATCTACCTATCTGTTTATATATATATATACATAGTATACTTAAAATGGCCAAGAACACGAGTTCGCAGTGCTTTACAGCTCCCATTGAGGTGCCGCAGAAATGGATTGCGCAGTTTGCCCTCTACGATCAAGTGAAGCTCCGGTGAAAGCCATGGGAAACTTGTGAACAACATGAAAAAAAAAGGTTTATAATCTGAAGTAAGTCCGACAAGATAGCCAAGTTTTCCATATATCAGTATGTCAATTTTACTGTTAAATCTTTATGGGGGTTACTATAGTTCAATTTAACTGGTTTTAGTATCTCTTAGCCATGCGATGAGAATCATTCCTTGAGATGACAAGACCCCCATTCTATCGTCCCAATTATGTGGAAAGTCCCTACTAAACCATTGGAAATAGCCATATCATTTCCCACAGCCTATGAAAAACACCTCAATTGCATGGTCTGCAGGCCAGAGGTGACATTGATGGTGAGCTAACTTATGTTTTAACCGTGGTGAGTTAATTTATAAAAACCATTAAAGTGACAACCATTAAACAAAAAAACATAAAATAACCATAGAGTTTTCAGAGGTTACTTTTATGGTAACCATAAGTTAATCTAAATATAAGCATAAGTGGAGAGTTTACCATTGAAACTCTCTATAACGATTTTGATATATCCACTTACACGTGGAAATGCACTTGTAGGATCTTTCATTTAATCAACGAGTCAGGTTCAAGAACCTTTTTTTCATGACCGATGGGTCCCACTTGCAAAAAATCAATCTTCAGCTTGAGATGATGATCCCAATTGACGAGCAAAAAAAAATCTGCCCGGTGTTCGGATGTGCCCGGTGTATGGTAGACTTACAGAAACCTACCTGGTGGTTCATCCCACTTAGAAAATGTAAGTGGGTTTCAACTCCAGTTATAAGTGGATGAACCCTAACTATCACTTAATAAGTGGGATGAATTTATAAGTGATATAAATGAGCTAATTAGGGTTATATGAATTTATTTATATAGTTAAGTGGATTACTAAGTGGTATCAACTCCAGTTATAAGTGGGTATTTATACCACTTACTAGGTGGGATGAGCCACCAAGTACATTTGGGCCATTTCTTGGGTATCATTTTGATGAATCTTCCCTACATGGAGCAGGTTCTATTTGAGGTGCAGAGATGTCATTTGACACTACGCACAGCTATGGAAAATGGCCCATGAAAAGCAGATGATGTAGTTGGATTATCTGATTTACCTTTTGAGCATGACGGTTTTCCAGAGCAAACGGCGATTAGATTAGATGACCAGAGGGTAATTGCTAAACATAGCATGTTGCTAAATGTGGCTTGCTTACATGATAGCTCTCGTTGAATATCCTGAAAATTCAAGTTCCAATTGGTATTTTAAAGTTTGTTAGGTGCTCCAAAACAGGATGGTTAACTAATGTTCTACCTCCCTAAAATAACCCCCGTTCAATTGTAGTACTCAGGCCTCTCACAAGTTTGCACGATACTGCACATATCTATTGCATATCCAAAGTCTACTAATGTTTTTCAACGTTGTTATATAAGTGAATCATTTAAATCCTTCTTTGTACAACATAACAAGCTTTCGAAATAGCCATGTCTAAAGCCACCTTCAAGACTGATTGAATTGATTCTAACTGTCAGTTAAATCAAAACTAATTTACCTTCTTCGTCTTATGTTTTAACTTCAGCAGTCTGAGTTTACCCCCCACCTGTTTTGGGTCACCGCTTCCGCCTGAGGAACGCCATTCTGTCCGCTCCTCCCTCACCCTTTATCCCATTGGTACTGCAGACGTGACCCGGGGGAAAACAAGGGGAGGCTGTTGAAGGATCGGCTGTTTGATGGTTTTAATGTAGGGACTAAAACCGATGTGGGTAAAACAATAAACATTATCCCCCAAATCACCACAAAATGGGTGTTATAAACCATTCCGAAATGGGCGGTTATGTTGTTTTAAATACATTAATTGAAGTTTAATAGGAATTTATTATCTAATAGGAATTCACGGGCCATTGGTTTGATGTTTAAATGGAAAATCATCTATTACGTTAAATATTTTAATGGGTTTGATTGTCAGAATTATCTCTATTTTTTGCATTGGAACACCATGATAAATTGGTTCAATGGATGGGTAGCAACCATTGGATGCCAATGGGAAAGAAAGTTTGTTTAGGGTGATGTTTCATTTTCCCAATAGGAAATCCATCATTTGGGAAGTGCATAGGGAATATGTTCAATTTTTGTTTATCCAAGAATTGTCAGGACATACTTGCTTGATGATTGTGAAGTTCCTCTTGAAATCTTGATGATATACCATTACTTTCCCTGAATGAATTTAAGGAAAAGTTGACACAAAACCCTTTAAGAATCCTGTAAATTGTCCCTTGAACCACTCCATTGATACCAATTGGATCCGGTATTTAGGGAGCGAAGGAGCTGAGATGACATCAGGCGGCATCGATACATGGGAAGACTCACAAGTGGCGAAATTCCGAGTGTTGCAGATGCCGAATCCCCGTGAATTTGCATGAGATGTGAATGTGAACCAAGAAAGGAGATATGATCCAAAATTTGGCAGCACAAATATGGGACAAAAGAAAATTTGCGATATGACCGACGATCATTGGAGGTTTCAACCAAAATCTTTACACTCATTTGGCGGGCCCAGCCCAGCCGTCGCTCATGTTTTCTGCCATCATCCAGCTGCATCATCTCTAAGGCCGTTGAACAATTTGGTGGTTCTCTTCACAGCTTTCACGGCATTTTTCTACCTGAAGACGCGTTTCAAGATGGTCCACTATGCAGGTAGCTTGTCGGGATGATGGGAAGGGATTGTTGTGGATGTTTGTGGTACATATCACCTCCAAATACCCCAAAGTTTTCTTGCATCCAAAGAACTGAGCATACCCTCTGGTAAACTAAGATAGCTATGGAAAATCACCATTTATAGTCGGTAGATCAACTATTTCTATGGGCCAATTTCCATAGTTATGTTAGTTTACCAGAGGGTATCCCCATATATTCCCATGATTTTCCCATAAAACCATATAACACCTCCATTTCTAGTGGATATGTCCTATAAAACCATGTAAAGCCCATCATTTTTGGTAAGAAATGAGACGTTTTGGCATGGCATGGTGATCGTTCAAGGTGGTGATTCTTAGGTGCTGGCAGTACAACATGTGAAATCCACGCTGTTGGATCTGTTGGTTTTTTAAAGAAATGCAGTCCCATGTGGATTTTAAGGTTGTTTAAGTGTTGTTATTTTTCCGTGCAGTCCATAAAAACCTTGTGGATCATTGGATCACCTGATGGGTGACCAAACATGAACAAATGGTGATTTTGCGACATGGGAAGCCATGAAGTCATAGGACCAACTCAAAATTTCGAACACATTTAAAGTAGTTACGTGACAATCAATAACATCATTGGTTATTTACATGTTAATTAATTGATTGAGAATGAAAACATAGAATTGTGATGAATTATGTAGTATCCATTGATAATTAATGGTTGTTCAATAGCTTTGTTCGATTCTCATACTTGTTGTGATCGATAGGGACCTCCCGAACGGAATGAAAAATCCGTGGGTTGAGTCCAGGGATCCAGGGATCCAAAACCAACGGTATAGCCAGGGTGAAAGGGCCGCGAACATAGAATGCGGGGCCAACGTGATATTTGTTGATTTATAAACCCCATCAAATAGGTCATGATATTCATCATGGAGATATATATATATATATTTACATATCAATAGTTAACCAAGCTGGAAGTCAAACCGTAACTAATTTGTTATACCGCCCGAGTGGAGTGCACGCACAAACTTGGCATCATCACGGGCGCAGTGCGTCCACCTTGGGCCGCCCCAACCCATTTTTTTTGTCAGCAATTGGGTGGTAGCCCAATAGATTGATGCAGGTCAAAAAAAAATAAGGGCTTCAAAAACCAATACGAAACGTTCTTTTAGTCATGCAACATTTAATTTAACAACTATCAACTATCTCTGGTTCAAACACCAGTTGGCTCATGTGGTGTCTTCAAAATGGTGGAGCTCAAAATCATGCAAACTTTTCAGAAACACATGTGTTTCTGCACTCCCGTGCTACCTCTTGAATTTGATTGGTTTTCTAGAGTCAATCATCCTGTTTCCAAGTACATACTAAGAAGAGAACATGGTTTTGTGTTCAATTCAATACCATATTACTGGTTGGTGGTTTGGAACATTTTTTATTTTTCCATATATTGGGAATGTCATCATCCCAACTGACGAACTCATATTTTTCAGAGGCGTAGGTATACCACCAACCAGATATTACTATAGCAGTCAATCATTCTGCTTATTGGTATTGTCATTATGGTTATTGTAAGCCACATAGATGTCCCACTGTCCCACCGGTTGATTCATAGAGGATTCCCCCCATTCCACACCCAACAGGTAGTTGATAATATGGAGGTTTCCATAATTGGAGGGGTACCCCAATAACTGGATGGTTTATTTCATGGGAAATCCGAACTTAAAATGGATGATGACTGGGGGTAGCCCTATGACTTCGGAAACCCCCATATTGATAAGCAGAAGGTTACCAGTATGGTTATAGTGAAGAATCCATTACAAACAACATCATATTAGTCACTGTCAAACAAGAATTTAGCACAATAAATTCTGATTGGTGGTTTCAATCATTTGGTTTGTTTTCCATTTTATATATGGGATGTCATCCTTCCCATTGACGATCTCCATCATTTTTCAAGATTCAAGATGGTTATTGCACCACCAAGCAGATTATTATTAACCATCATTAACCATATAATAACCATTCATATTAACCATATATCAATAGTATATTACCAACCAATGGTAGGTTATTGCACCACCAACCCGAATTGATTCTGCCCTCTGGTTATTTAACATAGCCATGGAACATGGTCCATAGAAATAGATTGTTTACCTAGCTATAAAATGGTGGATCTTTCCAGTCCGCTATGTGACAAATAACCAGAGGGTAACTATAGTTATGTATATATATATATATATCCCATTAATATCCCATTCATATTCCATTAACATTCCATTTCATCACCCTTGACTGGGCCATTTACCTACAAAACTGGGTGATTTGTGGGGCAATTTTGTAGGTAAATATTCCATAGATTTATTCTAACCAACCAATCGGTTGTATTTTGCGCTTCGCCCAATCACAGGAATTTGCATCATCCTGTGCTCCTGCCTGGTTGGTGTGTTGGTGGAGCTGCTTGGAGGAATTTTTACGCATCCTGTGGCTTGATGTTGATAATATGGTTATATATATATATGATTATTATATATTATGATGAATACCACATTATTAGATATATAATGTTATATATGGTTATATTAATGACTATCAATATTAGTTATATATGGTTAACCACATTATAGATACATATGGTTATTGAATGATTACAATGTGGTTAAAACAATGCCATCAACCAGCCATGGCTGGGATTGGCTGGAATCCCACCGTCATAAAAAATGGTGAAATTGGGGATGGTTTATGGCTTTGTTTTACCCACATTATAATGGACTATATATACTGTGTGGCTCATCCCACGGATCGTAAGTAGGTTAGCTCACCCTAGTCACAAGTGTATTAACCCTACTTATCCCATTTACAACTGGGGTGATAACCCATTTAGTAAGTGGGAGGAGCCACCAAGTACCCAATATATTGGCGATATTTGGGGAGTATTGTAATCCATCATATTCCATTGATATCACCATTGTTCACCATGTATTTATTACACTATGTGTCACTAAAGTGGTATCATTAAGATATATAATACTGTAGTATACTGTATATAATAATAGATAATTTACCAACATAATAAATACAATATAAGATAATATAAGTAGAAAAAAATAATATAGTATACCAACATAATCAATCACAATAAACATATTTCCAAAATACCTTTTCGAAGTTGAACATAGCTGTAGAAAGTCACCATTTTTCATGGGAAATCAGAACAGCTCAAACATATCCATAGCTTGAGTGTAAGTGTAGTTCACGTACGGCCATCGGAAATATACCCATGTTGCATTAATGTATGATTAACATACCCACAAACGATTCCTCTCCATTATCAGGACCCCTAGGGGTCCGCCAAAACCTTTTTTTTGACAGCCTATGTGCGTGCAAGGATATGCAATTACGGGTTCCTGATTTTGGAGAGGGAGCATTTTGTAGATGACTGAAACTGTAGGTTCCTCATTATGTAGAGGTTTTGGGGTTTGTCAACATTGAAATATGCAAATTATATTGATTTTACAGGTTTCTCATTTTGTAGAGAAAAATGGTGGAACACATGTTTTCGACTTGCTTGCTCAACGCCCGCTCCTGTCGGAATTGTGGAACATTGATTCACAATGAATAATTATTTGTATTTACCCATAGTAACATACATTATGTATTTACAATAATTTCAAACATAAAATAATTGCTAATCATACTTATGGGTCAATTATAGCCATTTTAAAATGATACCCTATCACCAATTAAAGCAGGGTCTATGCAAATGGTTCAAACTATGCCTATTCAAATCCGCCACCAAATGTCCGATTACCGTGACTACAATTTAGATGAATAGAGGACTACTGGTTACTGATTAGTAAGAACAATTACAATGTTCATTCTAGAAACCAACTTAAAGAATAGTTTCTTTAAATAGAAACAAAAAATGAAGAGATAGGAAGAAGAATACACAATAGTAAAGCGGTTACTAGGGAATTCAATAATGGGCTGCTGTATGATGATTCCCAGTATATAGGAATCCATGTCATTCATCATATATCCAACTAGAGAAATATATCATTCCATATGGAATATTGTTATTCACAATCGATGATTATATGACACCTGTTGACATAAACCCATATGGAGGATAGATATTGGAATAGCAATTGATTGGGGATGACAATACCCTTTTGGTAAACTAACATAGCCATGGAGCATCACCATCTTCAACTTGTAAACCAACTATTAACTATCCCTATGGGCCTTTTTTTTATAGCTATGTCAAATTACAAGAGGGTACATCTATAGCTACTCCATTATAACATTGGTTTGATTAATTCATGCAATCAATCTTATATATATACCATATATAATTCATGTGATTTATCATATTATTTCCAAAGTTGAATAACATTCCATCTCATCACCGTTGACTATAGTTATATGACAATAACATCAGTGTGGAATCTCATTTTTGAATAATCCCCACTATCTTGGATAGTATACTGTAATCCTCTACACTTTCATTCAACAAGGGGTTTGAACACTCGAGATTTGCTTATGTGGGATATCCAAACCATTCCAAGCCATTCCCAACCTCCTATAGTATGATTATCCCAAGTATAATTATCCTATTATTATAACCACATATTACATTATAGATACGTACTATTATGGTTGGTTTCCCCATTTTTTTGGTGGAAACCAGTTATGTATACTAACCATAATAGGACATATAATACTAGTAGAAAGTATAATAGTTTCCCATTTTTTTTATATATATATATATTATATATATCATACATTATTATAACCCAATTAGTATGGTTATTATATATATATTCCATTCAACCGCCTACTATTATTGTTGTATACTTCTTATTATGGTTACATTATATTACTATTATTATTATTATTACATTCCACTATTATGGTTATTCCATTGATTATAACCCTATTATTCAATTCTTCCAATTATGATGGTTATTATTACCATTATCACTCATTATATATTACTCATTATCCCACTATTATCCCATTATTATTACCCTCTGGTAATTTAACATAGCTATGGAAAATCACAATTTTTTAATGAGAAAATCCACTATAAATGGCCATTTTCAATAGCTATGTTAGTTTGCCAGAGGGTACCGTTATATACATTATATGTGTTCCATTCCCAACGGCCTATAGGCTCCAGGGCCCGCAGCCCATCATCTGCCGTGGCCTTCACGGTGCCGCCGACGCCATGAAGAATCCCGCCACCGCGGCCACGGTGCCGCAGGAGACCAGGTCTGGATGGACCTGGGGATGATTTCATGGGGATTTTACATGGGTGTCAAAGGGGTTTTGATGGGAGTTTTAACTACCCATGACAGGGAACAACTAACCGTTCATAGATGTCCTTTTCCCATTGCTTGGTTGATGAAAATAGAGGGTTTCGAAGAAACTTCTTTAACAACAGGTTTGTTTGATGATATATGGTATACCAGCTCCCGGCCCCTCTATTTTTACCAAAAGGACATTATTGATTTTCATGGGATTTAATGGGATTTTAATGGGATTCAATGGGATTTTCATGGGATTTAATGGGATTTTAATGGGATTCAATGGGATTTTGATGGGAATTCATTGGTTTGAAATGGGATTCAATGGGATTTTGATGGGGCCAAAAATTCGAGTTTTTTTCTCATATTAAGGGATGGTCATCAATCCATTAACGTGGATTCCCCGTGGATCAGGTGGTTAGTGCAGAACGCGACTGATGACTGTGTCACTGGCCTACCTCCATACAAGAACGCTGATGGCGAGTGCCTTGGAAAATATGTTTTTTTTTTGAAGGGCTGAATCAGAACCTCGTTTTCTGATGAAAAGTGGCCAGTGACTATCCCATGAAATATATGAAATGTCATATATATATATATACATACATATTATATACACATCATATTATATCCCACGTGATGTCCTCATTACATGGCAATCATCAACAACATGGTGGCGAACTACCCACGCGATTCGCCTTCATGGCTTAGTTCACCCCAGTGAAAGCGCTGGAGGTATCCTCTTGGAATTTCTAGGAATCCCTTCCCCCGTTCATATTCAACACCCCCTCAACGAAACCATGTTTTAGTAGTAGGGAATTTCCATATCTGGTTGGTGGTTTGGAACTGTTTCTATTTTTCCATATATTGGGAAAACTCATCCCAACTGACTTTCATATTTTCAGAGGGTAGGTATACCACCAAGCAGATATAGCTGGGACCATGCAATTCGTGTGTTTTTCATATTGGGGTCCAGGAAATTGTGTGGTTATTATTTCCGTTAAACCCCTGGGACCCGGTACCCGGATGGTACCCTAAGCTACAGCTGGCATAGCTGGATGTTTATTCCCCCCAGTCATAGGGTAAGAATAGGTTTTGACCCATCCCCATATCATTTGGTATATAAAACTAATAGAGATACAACAACATTTAATAACACTATATATTACTACTATTTTATCATATAATTTGGTTCTTCATTAAGTGACCTTTTTTCAACCACCAATTCGAGATCACTTAACCCCCGGGTCCCAAAAAAACACCTCATTTCAGGGTCAATCTGAAGAACCTGGATGATGTTCATTCATTGTTCCACTAGAATGTCGTTATGGGTAAAACTTGGATATCCAAAAATTGTATGGGCAACGTCGAAACATGTCCAAACAATGCTGAGCCCTGTATTTGACCTACTGTTTCACCCACAGCTACGTGAACGATGGTCAACGAATGGGTTTGTTTCACGATCCAGGATACCATCAAACCATATCAAACCCCATTCCCGCCATGCAAATAGCCTTTTAAAGGCAAGCCCTGGCCGGCCCAGGATCATTTATATTGCCTTCGGAACGCTTGCGACCATGTACTTGCTCTACATCTTTGTGACTTGACAGAGGATATGGAGGTTTCCCAAGTCATGGGGGAAGCCCCAGCTCATCCAAGTCAGCAAACCTTACTTTAGCATTGGAAGCCATCGTGACTTGGGGATCCCCCATTGCAAGAAACCCCCATATGATTGGTTGATGAACGTTGATAAATCCTATCTGAAAATCTTCACTTAATCCAGTGTTTCATGGTGAACCACCAATTAATCCATTAAGAAACCCACGATTTGTCAGCACAACACCACCCTGAAATTAGTCATTCCTGAAATGGATTGTAGTCATCCAAGCTTAGCTCCACGATATTTCATGATATTTCCATATTTTGTCAAGTCATACAAGGTGCCATATGTTATCAGCCCCATGGCAACTAGATGGATATATCTACAAGGCGGGCCCCCCAAAACGATAGCCAAATTGACACACACACACATACGTTGGGGAATCCTATGATTTATGGGGGATATAGCGAACTAGTATTCATGGGGTTTACAAGCCAACTTATAAATCATAAATCAGCTATAAATCCCATTAAATATCTATTTTTTGCTGTTTAAACATATGTTTAAATCACAATTTTCAAATATTGGACGTCCGGGGGCCCCACCTTTTACCATAAACCATCAAAAGTCACCTGATAGCAGCCATTGTTTCGGGCAACGTCCAAGGCAATCATCCCTTCGGCCTTCAGCAATTGCTACAAGCAGAAGAAGCTCAAGCAGGTGACCATGGTGACCGAGTGGATAGAAACTAAGCCTCATGTTTATTTTCATGGGTAATGGATAAATGATGATGTATGGAAGTTGGGATTTTTACCTTCTGGCACTGTATAACCGTGTAACCGTTTGCTACGCTATAGATGGCCAATTGATTGATTGATGATACACCGAAAAAAAAAAAAAAACATTGTGATTTTCAAGAGCTATGGATAGGAACTTCTTGGATTTACAATCTGAGTACCATTTGGTAATCAGTTCCATGGCTTCGTCGTATAACCAGGGATTTAACCAACGACTGGCATGGCTTCGTCCAGAAACACAGGAATCCTAGGAGCTGTAGACCAGAGCCAAAAGCATCCAAAAGCTATAAGGGTGTTTCCATAAATGGGGGTACCCCGAAATGGATGGTTTATAATGGAAAATCCTATTATATAAAGTGGATGAATTGGGGGTACCCCTATTTCAGGAAACATCCATATTACCATGTTTAGAGTGAACATCCATTTACCATTTTCCTCGCAGTGCTTAGTGGTTCAAGGCGAGAGTTACTGCATAGAAAATTGCGAAGTGCCATGGCAAGGAACATCAGTGTGGAACTGCTCAGTTTGACCATCCCAGAGTCTGTGACTGAAAGTGCTTTTCGTGACTGCAGGTCTTTGACAAGTTTGACCATCCCACAGTCTGTGACTCAAATTGGAGATCGTGCTTTTCGTGACTGCAGGTCTTTGACAAGTTTGACCATCCCACAGTCTGTGACTCAAATTGGAAATGCTTTCGCTGGCTGCAGCTCTTTGACAAGTTTGACCATCCCAGAGTCTGTGACTCAAATTGGAAATGCTTTCGCTGGCTGCAGCTCTTTGACAAGTTTGACCATCCCAGAGTCTGTGACTCAAATTGGAAATGTTTTCGCTGGCTGCAGCTCTTTGACAAGTTTGACCATCCCAGAGTCTGTGACTCGAATTGACAATGTTGCCTTCGCTGGCTGCAGCTCTTTGAGGAGTTTGATTATCCCAGAGTCTGTGACTGAAATTGGAGATCGTGCTTTTCGTGACTGCAGGTCTTTGACAAGTTTGACCATCCCACAGTCTGTGACTCAAATTGGAAATGCTTTCGCTGGCTGCAGCTCTTTGACAAGTTTGACCATCCCAGAGTCTGTGACTCGAATTGACAATGTTGCCTTCGCTGGCTGCAGCTCTTTGAGGAGTTTGATTATCCCACAGTCTGTGACTCAAATTGGAGATCGTGCTTTTCGTGACTGCAAATCTCTGACAAGTTTGACTATTCCGGCGTTTGTGCCGAAGATTGGAAGGAATGTTGTGGAAGGTTGCAGCTCTTTGACAAATTGGGGTGCCCTTTTCATCAAGAAATGCGGAAAAGAAGCGATCTGATGGTGATGACACCGCCGTCCAAAAGACGGAAGAAGTTGGAACATGTTGAAACCGACTGCATCGAGTATCAAGCGAGGAAAAAATGATCAGAAACCAGTGATTATGAACTGGTTGGTGGTTTGGAACATTTGGATTATTTTCCATAATATATGGGACCTTCCCATTGACTTTCATATTTTTCAAGATGGTTAAAACCAAGAACCAGATATTTATTATTAACCAGATATGAAAATGAATACCATCATCAACCATAGAATGTCACCGTATATTAACCATATATAACCATATATTAACCATATCAACCAGAATTATATCTTGCTGGCATGTGTCACCTTCTCCAACATGGCGGAAGTTCGTTTTGGCGCGGAGCTGACTCGTCAGCTTTCTGAACGTCAGTTTTAGTTCGTTTCTGGGGATTTTTCACCATCACAAGGACTTCACCAATGAATACTCTCGAAATACTTGATTTACCCAGAAAATTCATGGTGATTTCCCAGTTCGTTATGTAAACCTTTACCAGAGGGTAATGGATATGGTTTTGTCCCTTAAAATGATGTATGTATGTATGTAATGTAATGTAATGTAATGTAATGTAATGTAATGTAATGTAATGTAATGTAATGTATGTATGTCTGTCTGTATGTATGTATGCATGCATGTATGTATGTATGTATGTAATGTATGTATGTAATGTATGTATGTAATGTAATGTAATGTAATGTTATGTTATGTTATGTAATGTAATGGTATGTATGTATGTAATGTAATGTAATGTAATGTAATGTAATGTAATGCAATGCAATGTAATGTAATGTAATGTAATGTAATGTAATGTATGTAATGTATGTATGTAATGTAATGTAATGTAATGTAATGTAATGTAATGTAATGGTATGTAATGGTATGTAATGGTATGTAATGGTATGTAATGGTATGTAATGGTATGTAATGGTATGTATGTATGTATGTATGTATGTATGTATGTATACTATTACAAGTTTAGTGGGGATTTTTGTTGATAACCCAGTCCATTTCGGGGAAGCTTATCAGACAAGCACCGGCCTGAGCCATAGGGAACCAACATTTGGACCCACCTAGTGGAAACATGATACAGAGACATGGAAATATGGTTGTTATTGTTGTAGCACCGCAAAAAAAAACGCAGATCAGCAAATGAACATCGGAATTCAATGATATGTGTGATCAGACGCTAAGTGGTACATGTTCTGCAAATGTTTGACCTCTTTATCCAACCACACATTCCGCCACCTTTTAAATTGCCAGGTGAATCTTGATGTGATGTGGTCCTTCTTTTGGTCCGGGATGTGGCAGGTCGTTGTTTTTCAACGGCGTTTTTCGGGACAGGGATGAAACGACCACTGAAACCATGGATTATGTATAGAATTTTAGCTGCTAAAAAAGTGGAAGTTCAATCAATAGTAAAATACAAGTGGAGGCTATATTAATTATAAAATTGCTTACTGATTGACTAATGTTAAGTAAGTTTAACCATTTAACCATTTAATCAATCACTCAAACTGTTGCTGTAAGCGATACCAAGTGGAGGCGATTGATCCCTGCTGAATGCTGACCGTGAAGCTAAAGGTGACGGTGGCAATGGACTGATTTTGAGCCATGAATATCACAGATGTAGGAATAATCATAAAACCCTATTGATTTTCATGGTTCTGGTCACCAATCCAACATGCAGATTTTCATGGATTGGATTGATTTAGGAATAAAACTTCAGGTCGCCTATCCATTCCCAAATAAATGATTTATTACATATCGGGCATCAAATCCCCATATCCCCCGAAAATGGCTGATTCATTGGGGCGCTATTTCAAATAGTAGCACTAATTATCACTGCGACATTGGGGAAGTTATATATATATATATCTGTATAGATTCCATAAACCCTGGCGGATTGGAAGCCTCCTACTTGTAATTCATCCACCAGGGTTTGTGACCATCCGCGGTCGACATAAAACTGGTCAAACGTTGGCCATGGTCACGAGTTGTTGCTGCACATGCTCCCCATGTAGGGCTTGAGTTCTGCAAATCGGATGTTCTGAAAAATCGCCTTTCACTGAATCGACAAAGGTTCTGTAATTCCGACATCATTGTTTAAGCTATAATTGGATAGAAATATATAGAAATGGTAGCTAGACTATAATTGGATATAAATGATATAAATGTGTTTTTTGAACCCAAACGATGAAATATGCTATTTGTTTACATGGTATCCAAGATCGGCCATGGTTTCATACCTTTCTTAAACCAGTACTGTAGCTTGAGCTGGTGTTTTGAGCTGTTTGTTGCAGATGTATAGCACCGAACTATGGCCAAGCTCGCCATAGACGATGAATTTTGGGATTTGGTAAATCATGAAGACTCATAGATGATCATCAGTTGTAGGCCAACTTGAGTATTTTCACTACGTGGTTCAATAGATTTACCATAGACTATAGATATCTCTTTAACCACATATAATAAACTAAATACTACATCCACTGAAAGCCATTCCTTACAACTTGAATTCCAACAACTTTGAACTTTGCCTTTCAAACAAATCATACGTAATTGTAATAACATATATATATATTATAATATTATATATAATATTATATATAATATTTTATATATACAGTGTATATATAATATCATATATAAAATAGTATATAAAAATATATACAGTGTATCTATATGATATCACATATATAATATATTATATACACATAATATCCATAGAACCAATGGTTTTTCGAAACACCCTTGCGCAATTCGCGCCAGGTCTTCTGGGGTTTCTTGTTGTATCCACTGAGCTGGGTCCCGTGGCCCACTCCCACGGGGCACAATGAAGCTGGACCTTCCACCCTTAGTCAGGAGATGGAGGGTAGATCTCTGGGAAGCGTGGAGATTTCACCCAGTCGTAGATTATATGTGGAGATTCCCTGGTAAATTTACCTATTAAACATGGTGATTTTATGATGGTTTAATGGGATCTAATGGGACTTAATAGGATTTACCCTCTGGTAAATTTACAGTTGGACCCTGATTTTATCACCCATTTTTAATGGAAACGATTGTCTTCCAACCCCGATGACTGCCAGGGTCGAACTGTTAATTTACCAGAGGGTAACATATATAGCCATGGTATAGATGGTCCATAGAAATAGATGGTTTACCTAGCTATAAAAATGGTGATTTTCCATGGCTATGTTAAATCATCAGATGGTTTTTTTTGGCATTAATCTTGGATCAACAACATGTCCTTGGTGGTGGTTTGGAACATGAATTTTATGACTTTCCATATATTGGGAATAGTACCCCCAACTGACTTTCATATTTTTCAGAGGGATTGAAACCGCCAAGAGAAGATGGACAGTTCATTTATGATACCCTCCGGTAAACTGTCACATAAGTACTATGGAACATCACCATTTTTTTTGATGGGTAATTCAACTATTTCTAAATGCCCATGTTCAATAGCTATGTGAGTTTACCAAAGGGTAGGTCTTGGATTTAGAACATAGCTACGTTATCATGTTATAAAAGGTCTATCCGTTATGAATGTGATAGACAACAGCAGCAATATTTTTCACTATTTTTAGTTACCAAGGTCTATCAGATTTTTTTGGGTGGAAGAAATATATATATATATATATATATTTTAATAGGTCTATCACCAAGGTCTGTCACATAAATAGTCATTTATAATGGATAGAATTTGGATTTCTGGTGGATATGTCGATGTCTGGTGTGTTAGATGAGTAACTGCGCTCCGCAAGTCATATCCGGGGACCACCGGAAGAATCATACGTGGTGACACCCTCTGGTTATGTCAACACTTTGCTGTGGAACATGGCCGTAGAACTAGTGGATTTTCCCATAAAGAAAATAAAAATGATGATTTTCCATTGTTATGTTAGTTTACCAGGGATATAACCTACTCAAAAATAGTTGCTTTACCTATTAATAGCATGGTGATTTTCCAGTTCGTTTTGTAAACGTTTACCAGAGGGTAATACTCATTATATACCTACCTGCTGGTAGTGGGGATATAGAACAAATAGTACTGGGGATTCTGGTGATTTAATGATAATAATGATAATACGAATGATTGATAAGACAAATATAGAAGAATAATGGTAGATTAAAAACAACATTCGTCAGCTTCGCAACGTTAGAAATTGCTTCTTTAAACCCAAAAAGTAGTTATGTTTTACCCCAGATGATCTTTGGGATTCAGGGAAGCCCCACATGGAGCAGTTGCTAACTTTATTGCCAGTCCCCTACAAGGTGGTGCCCCAGTGAGCGATTCATCGCTAAGTTGGTGCCAATAACTCCAATTTCACTATGGTTTATGGTAGATATATCTATACTTACTATGGTTTATAAACCAACTTATAACTGGGGGGCCACACCACCTTGTATGTTGCCTTCCAACTGCCCTTGGATGATGTTTTTGCCATGGTCCCGCGGTTTTGGATGACCCTTGCTGCAAAAAAACACAACAGCTGGCAATTTCGAACATTTTTCCGTCATTTTTCCAGCCTTCATTGGAAACCTTGGCTGTCCAGCTTAGTCCCTTGGTGTGTTTTACGGGTTGCACAATGGCTCGACCAATAAGGGTTATATCTTTACACGATGATCTCCTGCGATATCTGCGATCTTTGTTGTCGATACCAATGGAGAAAAATCATCATAATCCTTGAAGTTCTTTTCCAATAAAAATCCACACTGTCACTATTGCATCATTTTACATCTATATTCCGATCATTTTACTGTTGAAAATTGTCGGTATATGGCTTTGTCTGAAGAAATGCTGTACCCCTGAATCCAATGCTTAAAAATCATTGTCCCTCATATTTTTCCCGAATATATATAACTAATAATTTGTTTAAACTATTTTATTTAAAGGGGGTGTTGTAAACGTGAAATATAAGCCCAGCTGATTATATCACTAACCCTTAACAGTTGATTATATGTTAACAGTTAACAGGTCGTAATATTTGTTAACTGGATCTTGCAGAGCTCAGCAGGATTTGAAAGACTCCTGGACTTGTCTCTCAGCGAGAAGACACGGGGGAACATTGGGAATTTGGCCAAGAATAGGAGAACATGGTGATTTCAGGAGCAACAATTGGCATTTAGCCATGAACATAGGAAAATGTAGATTTAACCAAGGATAATGGTGGTTTAATGGGATTTATAGCTGATTTTTGATAGCTAAGTTGGTTTATTTCGCTTGGTTAGTTAGGAAATGTGGTAGATATAACTATAGTTAATGGGATTTATAAACCATCCTCCAACTGGGTGGGAACCCACATTGAAACGGTGGCGTTCATCAGCGGTAGATGGGCCATGGAGTTTGTTAATTGGCTATTGTTAATCTAACATATCCTTGGTATGCCATGGTAAATGGTCCTGTTTTTAATAGGTAATCCATCTAGAAATTGACAAGTGTGGATGGCTATGTGAGGTTACCATAGGGCAATATCCTTTCATGACTGGGTCACAATGGAATATAGGTGAATTTGTGGAGCAGTTGACTAACTCTATGGCACACCTATGTAGTGGGAAGAAAAGCCAACCCTTCGCTGATATGTATGGGATATAACAACATGATGGAATGATGACACCTTATTGGTTGCACTGGAAAAACAAACAAACGATAAGGAATATAATTCAATATCTATTTGGATGTATTGACGGGACATAACTGCACATGTTATCAACAAGATGATTTGGGTCTGCCCACACGTGGGCAATTTAGACCAAATTTACCAATAATGTATACCTCAGTTCACTTGATTGGGGGGGGTGCGCATTTTTTCTACTTGCAAATGGGACCTCCCTTTCTTGAGTCAAACTGTTCGTTTTCATCGGAGTTCTTAGCACACTATACTTGCCAACTATCTAACCAACTCAAGTGATGGTGACATTTTGTAGCAGATTATATCCTCCGTATAACGTGGATAAACGGCTCTTGAGATAACCCACCGGCAGGGGTACTGTATACCTCCACATTTGCCACCGCCTAATGTTGGGATGTTGGATGATAAACATAGAACATACATGTAAACATATGTAAACATGTATTAGACCTGAAGACTTCAGAGACTAAATACACATAGATACATTAAAGTTAAGTACCTATAAAGATGTTCTTGCAAGTTAGGTGGGCCTGGTTTCTTGCACAACAAGGCAAACCAGAAGCATACTGTGCGCAAAAATGGAGGATGGTCCACTGAAGTGAGTGGAACAATCAGGATTCGAAGGATCATTCTTATTTCATATCCATAGTATTTCCCTATTATGATCAATTTGTATAGAATTCATTATATATATATGTGTGATCATTCCTTTATTTGAATCGTTTGAATCACAATGAATAATGATGCGAGTTGTGGTGTTTAAATGACCAAACGTTTCAGGAATCAATGGTGAGCAGTTGTTGCTTTCAATTCCCATGTTCGTTCCTTACCGATCCACATGTTTATATATGTGCTAACCAAATCTCGGTATATACTACTTAATTCCCATGCAAACCCACAGGTTTGCGAGTTAAATCCACGCTTTTGCCAGTTATATCCTCAGTGGCTGCTATTTCAATTCTGATCGTTACTAGTCAACATCCCCATTTTGCCAGTTAACATTCACATGTTACTTCTCACACATCCAACTCCAGAATCCAATGTTTAGTTTACTCGTTTTACTATAGACTTTTCGATCATCTTCAATCCCACCAGTGCTGAAAAATCCCATGGCGTGGTGGTATGTGGTGGTGCCCTCCGTGCCGCTTAAGTTGAGGCTTCATGGGACGTAATCCCAAGCCTTCGGTGACCACATGCTCGGCTGAACCTGCCTGGCTGTGGTTCATGATGTGCCTCCGACGAAAAATTTCACGAACACGAAGGGATTTGGGGATTTTTTTGGGACGAATCTCCCAGTTTTATGCTAGTGGAGTTTACAGGATGGGGCCCGGTGAACATAATCCCATCTAAATATAGTTATAAATATTTATAAATAAATATCATACACGTCATACACTAGTCTTATTATAGTTATAAACCAACTTAGCTAACTATAGGGCCCCATCGAAGCACTAATATGAGATGTGGATGAAACTATGGTTTTAATAGCAATGCATATATAGGATTTTAGATGTATGTGCTTACATACAGAGGGTGTCTAGTGTTAGACCGTTTAATTATACTATTTGTGACGTTGGCACATAGTTCGCAAGTGGGCTACAAAGCATACAGAAACGTCATTGTAAATAGTTTGTTTAGCAGTTTTAATCCATCAACATATAGTATATTTATCTACCGTAAACCTTTAGGATACCTTTAGGTAACCAATTCTGAAGCAACTTAAGTATCAGTTAAACATCACAAAAAATCATCTGCCATGTTTCCCCTTGTTTTTCGCGTGGAGTAGTTAGCTGCCTTTTCGGCTTGCCATCTCCATGGGACCACATAGTTGTGGCCCGATTCATACCACGGCCATAAGTCAGAAGTCACCCATGAAAATGCTTTATGATAACCCAATCATAAAAAATAACCATCAACCAACATGTATAAACATCAATATTAAACATCAATATTAAACTGGTATATGAAATGGGGCATTTCAACATAACCATCAAGCATCAAAGTTTAACTGCTGCTATTCATTGCTATTCCAACTGTAGGTATCTCCTCTTCAATGTCTTCTTCAATCTCTTCTTCCTGTGGCTCATTAAACGCCTGAGTGGAACCTGGGCCTCCATTGGTCCCTTGGAGGCCCTTGGATCACTGTCGGAGCTGGTCGGTGGCTGGGGTGGCTGGTAGCTATTGAAAATGGCCCATTGATAGACTGCTTGCTGGTTTGGAACATGAATTTTACTTTTCCATAATATATTGGATAATCCTTCCCAACTGACTTTCATATTTTTCAGAGGGATTGAAACCACCAGGTCGCGGGCGCGTCAGGCGCCTGGCGTTTTTATAGCGTTTCTGCATCAAAACGTCTCTTTTCAACTCTTTTAGCAGTTGTCGGCGTCGTTGTTTTTCACCAACTTTGCCAGCTCATTCAGCATGACCAGTGGTGTACAAGTTTGGACATTACAGCTCCACACATATTGGAAACAACGACGTCGCAGAGATGGATTCACCTCTGACCCCACCAAAGTCTTCACTTTTCTGTGAAGATTGGAAAAAACAAATTTCTTCAGACTCAACCATTGTCGGTCGATTTGCTGCGTGCCAGCGATTTTAGACAACCTGGTACTGTTGATGTCAGTGAGCAGGCGGCAAAACTCTTTGTTTTGGTGATTCCGCCAATGCCAATGAACGTTAACATCCCCCCCACCCACCCACCCACCCACCCCCCGACCCCAGCCAACGTAGCATCACGTAGTGTGCAAATTGAAGAGAACGTGCAGTAGCGTAGCATCACGTAGTTGTGCAAATTGAAGAGAACGTGCTGTAGCGTAGCATCACGTAAGTGTGCAAGTCCAATGAACGTTGACATCCCGCCACGTAGCATCACGTAGTTGTGCAATTGAAGAGAACGTGCAGTAGCGTAGCATCACGTAGTTGTGTAAATTGAAGAGAACGTGCTGTAGCGTAGCATCACGTAAGTGTGCAAGTCCAATGAACGTTAACATCCCCCCCCCCACCCACCCACCCACCCACCACCCGCCCACCCACCCACCCACCCACCCCACCCACCCCCCTCACCCCAGTCAACGTAGCATCACGTAGTTGTGTAAATTGAAGAGAAGGTGCAGTAGCGTAGCATCACGTAGTTGTGTAAATTGAAGAGAACGTGCAGTAGCGTAGCATCACGCAAGTGTGCAAGTCCAATGAACGTTAACATAACCATTTAACACAGAAAACACACGAAATTACCAGGCGCCTGGTGCGCCCGCTGGCAACCACCAACCAGATAGATTATTTAAAATTATTCACCTATTAAACATGGTGATTTTCAATCGCCAAGTTAAAGTACCAGAGGGTACCGTTTTATGTATCAAATATCCATCAAAACTATGATATTGTTGTATCTATATATAATATTATATAATCATGATTAATGGTTAATGTTTCTTATGATTGATGTATCTAATATCCATCAAAACATGGTATGGATTTATGGTTTAACAATGTTTAACACATGATGAACATAGTTATCATGCATGGTAATAGATTGATGCTACATGGTTGTCTCTATGATGTGGTTGGTAGGAAGCTAAGAAGCAGGCTGGCTATCCAGAGTTTCCCGGAAAAAAATGTGGGAGGCAATTGGAGCTATGAATTGAGTTTCCCAATCACATGATTATAGTCATGGTGGTTTCATGGTCTATGACGGATGTTGCAAGCAACAGGAATCTATGGATTTCAGCAACGAGTACGAAGCAATCTGACTGTGATGCCAAATCTCACCACATCTGCCTTGGCTGCCAAGAATTAAGCTATGCTTTCTGGAGGTTCCACATCTGTATAGTTTTAGTGGAGCTTGCTCACCCACGTTAAGTGGAGTAACACGTTTTTTTGCTTTAGAGTAATTAGAGTAAGCACATTTAGTGCAAGAACCAACAAAAAACATTTAAGTATTAAGTAGGATCATCACCAATCACCAAACTGTGGATCATTAAGCAAATTTAGTAAGCACACTTTAGAATTAAGTTGTTAACATCTGTATAGTTTTAGTGGAGCAACGTTTGTCAACCGAAGCATATTAGGATAGATGCTTGGAATCCCAGCATTTTCGTTGTGTGAAACAATTCCTGTGTTCCATGATACAAAGGATGATATTCCCGTGTTCTGGGTTTATACTCATTATATCCCATGATATTCTTATTGTATTCCCATTATATATATATTTATATATATATTATATAACACTGATAATAATGATAACAATCATGATGATAGTAATAATGATAATAATAATATATCCTATCGATATTGAAGTCCCCTTCCGTGTTTCTTTCCAACCCATCCCAGCTGATGTTTTCTGTCCATTCTTGCTGATGTTTGGATCTTCGTCGCAATATATCTAAGGGATATTGTTCGAGTCCCTTTGAAGATTCTTGAATAATAACAATGATATTGATTTTATATCATAATATTTTTAATAATAATATAAACACATGATTGATACTATATAATAATTAAATATAATTAACAATAATAAAGTAATATCAATCGATAATGTTAGTATTCATTCATGACCATTATCAATGAATGTTATCATCATCATCTAAATATATATATATATATATTATCGAATACTAACAATCAATGATAACATTCATTGATTATGATAATGATATTGATATTATATATATACACCCGTATCCATGTTGAAGTCCCCTTCCGTGGCTTTTTTCGAAGCCATCCCTGCTGATGTCTGGATCTTCGTCTCATCCGATATTTAAGGCAATTATAATGTTATCCAATCATTATTTGTTTATCAATGTTATCAATATTATTATCAATATCTTGGATACTTAACAATATCATTATTATCCATATATCAATATCAATATCCATACCAAGTATCATTATCAATATCTTGGATACCCTCTGGTAAAAACTAACAAAAAGCTATTGAAAACGGCCATAGAAATCGTGGATAAAAACCCATGAATAGCATGGTGATTTTCCAGTTCGCTATGTGACAGTTGACCAGGCCGGGTAATGATGATCCAAGGCTCCATCTTGTGTGGCAACTTGTGTGGCATTTTCAGTCAGTTCGACCTCTTCGCTGGCCCCTCCGCCCAGGTGCCGTTTTAGTGAGTAATTCGGTTGTAACCCCAGTTATTTCAATGGGATTTTTGTAGGGTTAATATGGGTTAATCCACTTAGAACTGGAGTTATAGCCGACTTACTGATGTTGGGATGAGCCAGCATTTTTAAGTGTATTGTTTTGTTGGTTCAAATTGTTAAAGGAAACAAAAGTAGAGGCACCTCGCATTTTTGGGGCGCAGACTGTTTTTTGAGACAAAGCCATATCGACCGGGACCGGGTCATTTGGTGATTTTCATTGGCAGAACTTGGGATTTTAACCGACTATTTTGTTGGGATATTTACCAAGAAATTAGTGATGTTCACACACAAACATGAGTTTTTTTAGCCATGGTTATCAACTAAACCTGGATTTTGCAGAAGATGATCTGTTGTTTTTTTCATGATGGTTAATGCGCTACTGCGAATATAGTATATAATGTATGCTCTTTGGTCCCTTCAGAAAACCCCTTTGTAAATGGTTTCTGAAGGATTGGAGATTGCTGATTGGTTGGCAACTTAGAAATGAAGGACAATCATATCCAACTGAACTTGTGTTCTGTTGGGAGGTACTGAGCATCTAAGGTTTCGCCGCTTCGTTCGAAAACATATGTTGCCAGGAACTAGCCCATACAATGCCTAGCACAACAAAAAACACACATCTACACTGGTTGGGTAATACAATTGTACCACCCCCCGCCAAAAAAAAACAACAACAACATAATTTGCTAAGAATGGTGGATGATATGGATTTTTTATGTTTTTTTTGTGCATTCTTCCGGGGTCCCTTCAGCCGCGGCAGAAATTGACCATGGAGCAGTGGATGGCCTTGATTCTATCCTCGTTGCCCGGCCCTTTTTGATGGTCTTTTCAGGAAGCGACAAAAATTGGAAAGTCCTACCATGCCGTTACCATTAATCACGTTGTATGTCATGGAATACCAGATGAAAATCCACTAGAAGAAGGATATATAATCAATATAGATGTTTCACTTAAATTAGACCATGCCTATTTTGTCTGCTTTTCAGGATTAAATTTCAGAGAACATATCGCCTGAAAAAGGGTACAATACATTACAATAGAAGGTCCTGAAATGGCCATCGATTTGATATCTGAGGAAACTGGATGGCTACCCCGTGCGCCAAATAAACACCTGGATTAATTAGTCTTGATTCTTTGGGGGTGTTTAGTAAGTTTAGTATTAGGGTGAGAAGCTTCCCCTAGCCCTTGTAAATTCAAAACCTTAATTCTTCAAACTGGCGTCCAGGCACTTTATAGCGATGTTTGTTCCATTAAAGAAGCAAAAACAAAAACAATGCATTGTGTAGTCTTGAAATGTCATTTGTGTTGGGTACTGCATTTCATACACGCATATATATATATATAAATAAAGATATATAGATATGATATGTACATATGTTTAAACGAACTTCCTAGGTAGGGGTGGGTACACATCAAATAAGGGGGTTCCATGTTGGGTATTCTGGTTTCCTATCGCCTTTCAATTGCCACAATTGAAAGAGATGCAACTCAGAAAAACGCAAAACCACAAAATTGGGAATTGACCTTCATATTTATTATTTGTGGCACGTTTGCTTATTTGGTGAGGGCATTAGTTTTGTCAGTAGTAAATGGGGATATTTGAACTTCACCAGCTAGATGTTTTTGTTGGGGCCCATCTTTAATTTCCTGGTGATGCATCGCGGAACAACGCGGGCATACTTCCTAGTGAAAATTGACAGGTGAACACGTCAGGTTGCGAGAGACCAGCTGACCCCAAGGATTGCCATGTGGGTCTACAATATTGAAGAAGAGGTCGACGTGAATGGCAAAAGTGTCTACGGTGAAAAAGAGACGCTCGGAGAGGATTTATATCATGGGACATATACATATAGGAAAATCCATCTATAAATGAATGATTTGGGGGTACCCCTATTTTAGGAACCTCACACACACATATATATATATATGTATATCTCATGATTGTTTATTTGCATGCATCAAAAGTATTAGGACGCCCATGTGGTCATTTGGAACGCATGCAAGAAAGTTGAATTTGTTTGCAAAAAGTGTGGATGTGACAGAAAGACATGGGATGTAATGAAAGAAGACAAATGGGATTGTTAGCGAGTGATAACGCCCCAGGAAGACGACAACTAAAAAGCATTTCTACATGACGCCATGACTCATTTTGGAATGAATATATCAAGCTTGGCGTTTGTGTTGCAATGCACAAGCCAAACAGACCGTTCTTTTGGAGACAAGTTTCCGTTAAGTTGGATTCGTCCATATTTCATTCAGATTCTGACAGTTTATTTTTTGAGAAATCAACATGGACGTAGACATTATCTATAGAAATGTACATGTACTAATTTCCCAAAGATTTCAATATAGGAATTAGATAAGTACAAATAAAAATTCATGCACTTATACAATTTGTACTTATATAAACGCTGTTTAATTATATATATATACTAATTGTATCTATGCCAGTTTCCAGATGAGATGTGGCTTCCAATTCGAAAAACATGCAGCATTTCAATTTTCAATCCACTTTGTGTCCCAGTCGCTTTACCACATGTGAGACACCCATAAAGCATGCCGATGTTGGCTTGGTTCAACTACTCATAATCAAATGTTGCAATGAACAATCCCTCATAAATGGAGGCTTTAAACAGATTTTCAATTGCAACGTTTGATCAACGTTTGATCACCGGAGGGCGTTTTTTGTGCTGATGGATTTGCAAAATTGTTTTCATGCTGATACTGAACATGTTGGTATGTTTTTTGTCACTCTCACTCTATCATGGGCTAATGTATTTTCCGACATGGGCTAAAAGTGTACAAAAGTGTTCATGTTTGTTCTTTTGGTGCCAATATAATTTTGAGTGATTTCTATGAGCCAAAGGACTGAATCCTCAAAGTGGATCATCTACAGACTGTCATTATGGCATTATGGCCTCGAACCAAGTTTTGATGACCTGGGAGTTTCTGATCAAGATATCGAATTGCCCTGTTCACCGTTACTACTGGACCCCGGCATAGTTCAAACAAAACCAACAGTCCCAACTTTAGTACAGGATGGGGCCCCCCACTTATAAGTTGGTTTATAACCCCACCTAAATATAGTTATAAGTTATAAGTATCATACACTATTGTTATTGTAGTTATAAACCAACTTAGCTAGTTAATTATGGGCCCCATCCTGTACCTTTGGCATAGAGGAATCCATCCTATCTAGCAAAACGACGTATGTCCCAGTACCAGTTGTAAGTATGGCCCGAAATACCAGTTATGGATGTCAGTAAATCACCCCATCGGAATGATCAACCGATTTATAGAAGCGTTTATAACTGGCAAAGGACTTTCTGTAGCTGATTTTCCCCAAGAAAACCAACGGTGAAAGAGAACATGCTGAAACCGCCTGCTGATGCTGTAGGCAAGGTGATCACAGATACGCTCCTTGGCTGGGAAATTTGAGCACGGTGCAAGGGCCCTGTTGCTGATGGTTATAGTCATGTTACCATGATTTGTATTGTCTAATTATATCATAATAATTCATAATATATCTAAATATTGAGATATATAAGTGGATATGCCTCATACATGATGATTGATTGGTGATTAGTTCGGGGATACTAACCATTCACCATTCATATTCGGACTATGAACCACTAGGGGAATCCCATTCTCAACCATGGGGCTGGAGAATGCCGATACGATGGAATCGACGCGGGTGCCAGCCAACAATGAATGGGTGCTATAAACTATCCCCTGATGGTAGGTTCATTATTGGCTTTCCCACAGAGGATTTTGAATACTGCAAGCTCAACAAGAAGGTACTTGGAGGATCTGATCAAACTAACTCCAAGTCTAAGCCCTTCAGGACCTCAAAATGAATAGATTCAATGGAAAACCTTGCAGAACCCCCTTTGTCGATGGAAGATCTTCAAACCAATTCCATTGATCTTCCCACCTACTTTGCCGTTCTTCAATCCAAAGCTGGTTGGTGGTTTGGAACATTTTTTTTCCATACATTGGTAATCATAATCCCAACTGATTAATATGTTTCAGAGGGGTAGGTATACCACCAGCCAGAAAGTTTTAAGTGGCTGAAGTATTTATGTTCAGCGTTGCAGGAATGGTTCCCGTGAATGACTTACAACGACCTCACTGCGTGAGGGGAATTATCCCAATATAGTCGACTAATCCGTTTGAATTAGGTCAGTGAGATATCATGATTTACCTCGATTGTACGTTACTATATATATATATACACACACATTCCCGTTAGACTCACAGTTTTCATGGTTGCACTGGGCCCCAACATGTCCGTACTTTGTCCCGCTAAAATGGTTGGTGGCATGATGTTTCCCCGTTAGAAAGAGGCTCAGATTTCTGTGCTTGGTAGAAATCCGGGCCATCCATCTCAATCAACAATACATCTGTTTCCAATAAAAGAGGATGGTCATCCCTTCATTTTCATCGGGGTTAGCTATGAATTTCTTGGCTGCAAAATTCACCAAGGGCCTCCAGGTTCCCATTGATGCTTTCCCCAATAGATCATCATAATCCAAAAAAAACAAATTTGTTGGATATAGTTATGGAAGTATATGGATTAAAAACATGATTATATTGGGATAACTATAACCAACAAATATATATATAATTATATATATATAATTATATATATATAATTATATATATATCTATATATATATATATTATTTTATATATATTTGTATATATATATATAATTATATATATATATATAATTATATATATATAGGTATATTTGATATAAATATAACTATACCATAAATAATGTTAAATTATATTGGGATAACTACAACCAACAAATATATTAAATATACCATAAATCTATGTTATCAAATTTCTTGGTGATATTCCCACGTGATTAATATACCATTGGTGAAAAACGCCACATGGCTATGGGTCAGTGTTCATCAGTGTTCAAGGCATGACGGGTCTATGTTAAATTACCTCAGGGTAAGTATTAGATGAAATCACTACTGGAGGAGTACCTCCCTAATCAACCATGGTTTAAACCATGGTTTATTAATCCGGGGTTGACATCGAAGTTTGACGCATAGCCACGTGATTCGACTTTGACCATATCTAATTTTGAATTACCATTGTTTAGGGCTATCTAATTTAGGGCTATCAAAAAATGCTTGATATTGTTGCGGAATTCGTTTTGAACCATCAATTTTCACAAAGATTTAATTTTGAGTTCTTCGGCAATTGTTTAAGAACTGTTATCCAATTTATGGTGCGTTGAACAATTACAAGGTGGACTTTGCAATAAGTTTGTGTAGTTTCAAACAGTAATTTTAAATATATCATGATATATCTCGCACAAACCAACTGAAAACTAGTGGGACATATCATAAGTAATGTCGCCATTAGTTATGATAGATATATCATAATTAGTTAGCAAGTGTTAGTTAACCTCGGTGATGCATGACCAACCCAATTATGTATAGATAGATCATGATTTATATATAAATATGTTTCCCCCCATAAACTATATCCTAGTGATGCATAACCACATTGCCAACCATAATCAACCATAACCAATCATAACCAAACTGGTTGTTGGTGGTTTGGAACATTTTTTCCTGTTCCATATCTTGGCAATGTCATCATCCCAACTGACTATTTTTCAGAGGGGTTGAAACCACCAACCAGATAACCCATATGCTCCATGTATGGCATATTTACCAACATTTACTCAACAAATGGCCCAGTTTTGTAGGTGAATAAAAAACATACTGTACATGGAACATATGGCCATACTTAAAGAATCATAACCAAGATATGGCCATAGATTCTTTAAGTATGGCCATATAACCATAACCAACCATAACCTTTTCAGTAATCCGGCAATCGGTCCCGGTGAACCCCGCTGTCGTTTGAGGACACCTTCGGTGTCATGGGCGTGGATCCGGACGAGGACGAATATGCCTCCGACGACGAGCCAATGGCGCAGGCGTTGTTTTTTTTTTTTTTTCGGGCGAAACGGCGAGGCGAGGAACACCAGCAAAACAAGGAGAATATAACCATGGAAAATTCATTGAAAACACTAGCCACAGAATAGCGCAAAAATAACCCTGGAAAAAGCTTTAAAAAAATTGGTCATTGAACCAGTTAGCCATGGAAAATCACGATTTTTCATGGATATGTGTTCAATCATCTCTAAATATAATATAATTACAAATAACATTTGCCTAGAGTTCCAAGTACCGGAAAAAACATGTTTTTTACCCCATACTTGCCGTATGGTGATCTTTGTATATTCTAGAGTCTAGGTGGTAATTTACCAGCCATGGAACATCAGTATTTATAAGAACGGTAAATCATTCGTAACATAAACATTCTCCATGACCTATGTTTCCATAGCAAAATGTTAAATCACCAGAGTGTTTCCATGGGATGTGACCAACAACAATTGATGATTTCACAAAACAAAATGCGGTGAAAAATCATCAGACATGATGATATAAACAACAAACGTTGGCAGTTAACCATCCCTTAACCAACCAAAATTGGATTTGGCTGTCAAACATTGGCGGTTGCGTTGAATAATTGTCATTGAAGATTGAAGGAACCAAACCAAACTTTGGATATCTTCATATGGAAATTGAAGAAATTAAGAAATGCTAAACCTCAACAAACTCGGGCTGAGGTGTTGGTGCCAACCTTTCTTTGGTTGTCTCCAAAATCTGTCATTTCACCCTAAACGGTTGATCATTTTGTCGATCAGACTTGGGTCATCCCACTGATGAAATGGTCCTAGTCAGTAAGTCCCCTGGCGTTATTCCATTGATAGGTGACGTCAAACCCCACAAAAATCACCACTAAATGGGATGATCCTCCACATGTGGACTGTGTTTCTGTTTCTACCGGCTTAGACACCGGAAATTCCGGTGTCTCCCGGGCGCCCAGGACCACACAAACTTCTGAGTTTCAGCGAAGCTGCCAAAATCGTGCAGTGTGCGACTGGGGAAAGGGTCGGCAATCGCCTTGGACACATTGCTTGGATTGGAGTTGGGTTCAAATCTGTTGGATGTTTATCCCTAACTATGACAGAACCAAACATCCCATTAACTTTCATTTGTTTTGTGGAAAGACTATTTCAAGCGGCAACTTTGGGGTATGAGGTGGAAAGACCCCAGTCACATCGTTTAATTTCATCGCCATTTGACGATGTCGCCGTAGAACATTGCTGCTGAACATGCGTTGGATTCTGGGGCGGCCATGTCTTTTCTTATGGATTACTGAATTTCTTGGGTAATGACGGTAATGATACGTAGTTTGACCCGGAGGACTTCTAATTGCTGAACTCCAAAACCCTCTGGTAAACTAACATAGCTATGGACGATGGCAATCTATTAAGTTGATTTACCTACCTATAAAAGGGTGTTTTTCCAGTTCGCTTTGTTAGGTCACCCTTGGGGGTACTCCTGGACGTTGCGGATGGATGTGTCCAGTGGATGACCAAAAATAGCGTGCTCGTCAACCCTAAACCCAAAACAAATACCTAACTTGGAACCCGGGTCCAATGGGATTGACAAAAAAAAACAATTCAATGATTATGAACCATTCAATGATTATACACATTTGTAAACCATTCAATGTTTGAATTAAAAATCAGGTGTGACAAAAAAAGGCCATACTGGTCTAATGCTGCCGCGCTGGAATCCGAATTGGCGATGTCCTCTACGCTGCGAATGTTCCAGTGCCACCGTCACTCTCGCGAGAGGTCGGAGAGCTGAACATAGGGTTCGCACATGTCACCACCACTGAAGCCACCAGAACTACCCAGAGACTTTGGTGTTCCAGGAACTACTCGTAGCTTGTAAAATCCATTAAAATCCTGAAAGATTGGTTTTGAAAACTGGGGTCTATAGTCCAATGACCGAGCGGTGATCTCGTAGGCGTTTTAGCAATTCCCGAGTCCAGATGTGTTTGTCTGAAAATAGGCTACCAACATTGAATGGTTTATAATCATGTTCCCCATTGAAATCGTACCCTCTGGTTATGTCAAAATAGCTATTGAAAATGGCCATAGAAATAGTGGATTTGGCCAGTTATAGTGGATTTTCCCATTGATAGCATGGTAATTTTCCATAGTTTTTTTGTATGTTTACCAGATGGGTATTTCTTGCGGATATGCCCATATATGCCCCATTTTCAGAGATCCACATGGTGATTTCAGCAACAAAAAAATACCCTGGGCAGGTGACTCAAAACCTGGGAAGCCTGGAAGAGGGGATCTGACCGCGCCGCTGTTGGCCCATGATCTTAAGGCACTTCTTATGGGCAAAGCTCAATAATATGGCGTTGGATATATCTTCTATGAGAAAAAAAATGATATGAATTGGATGGATATGATTCATTTTTTGAAGGTTAGCCGGTTAGCCATGAATTTTCAGGGAAGCTGGGAGCTAATTGTATCATGTTTTGTTTCGCCGGAAGCAAATCAACTCGATAAACCATGTAATGCCTGAAATCCTTCGACGTCTTGTGATGTGACCACGGCTGAAGAGCTAATGTGCAGAAAAAGCGCGCAAGGAAATGAGGAAAAAAACTTGGTGAAAGGGACCACGTTGGCAGAAACTTACACTTTTTTTTTGGTGCAGTGGGGGGTTACTGATAGGTATGACATGGTATGACCATGCTTCATTGATTTTGTTTGTTTAAGTTCCTCTTTTTTGCTGACAAAATCCCTATGTGCGCTGGCGAAGTCCTCAGCTGCTTAAATCTCCAGGATTCCTGCGGTTTTTTTTTGCTGGTTACCCAAATCCTTTGTAAATGGGGCTTTTAATCGACAGTAAGTGACTATAATCAAATTGTCAATGGATGTCAACGGTGGATTTTCCATTGCCATGCGTGATTACCAGAGGGGGCAAATCCCAATAATTGTGTAGAAGTTGTCTAGATAAACTATATCACTGGAATGATGGTTAGTAAGGGGCGGTATCACAAAATAGCCATATTTCAGATTACTCAGATTAGTGAAATGATCTTAGTGACAAAACATTTTTTTTCACGCTTTTTCCCATTATTGCTGACTGGTAATCCTTTATTTTCTTCAAACGCAAACGCCTGGCTCCGAATCTCACGTCGCAGACCCCACCGGGCGGCGTGTGCCTCGCGGACTATTGCGAGATCTTCGATGCGTGCCATCCAGAGGCGCAGCGGCGCAACCCCAACAGACGGCCCAAAAAAAGAGCGTTGCAAACAGCAAAAACCATTAAACAAACAAGGGCTGATATTGGAAAAAAAACTAAGTTTCCTGGAAAAAGAATCTTGGTGTCATGAACAAAAAACAACATGAACAAAAAACAACATGAAAAACCATCAAGAATGGACCTGAGAATAATGTTGATTATCGGGATATTATGAGAATGGCAATGACCATTTATGGAGAATACTTGGTGGCGCGTCCCAGATATCGTAAGTGGGTTAGTTCACCCCAGCTATATATATATAAATAAAGTTACACCCTCTGGTAAACATACAAAAAACTATGGAACATCACCATGCTATCAATGGGTAAATCCACTTTTTTATGGCCATTTTCCAGTTCGCAAACTGTAACAAATTACCAGAGGGTAATCCATTGACGATTCCTGGAGGGGCCACCAAGTAGGGGAACCTCCACGATCTTACCTCTACAGGAAGCCAGTTGTGTTTGTTTGTTTGTAATCCCTCAACTATAGATGACGTTTCTAGTGTGGTTGTGAAATGCAACATATGTTGTTTTTGTCTTTGCCCAGAAGGTTTGTTGTTTGACGTGTTTTTGTCGTTGACATAGTTATTCTATGATATACCAATTTCATGTTTTCGTTGGTTTGACATATTATATTTTACAGCACAATAAGAAGAAGTCGTTTTTGATTGAATGTCTGATGAACTTCAATACATCGCCAAAATCCCCTATTGGGCCAGGGTGATGTTCAAAGCCATGTTCAATCAGGTGATTTTACTACCTATTGCCGTGCCATAATGACTGGTTCTATGGCTATGCCCAAGAGAACCTAGTTCAAACTTGCCTGGTGAGTCAGCAGAAACTTCCACTTGGCCGCTAAAACGGAGTGTGGAAAACCCAATCATACTTAGATGGGCCATTGAGTTGCGTAACGACATAGTAAGTGGATAATTTGTCGAAGGAAGTTTAGAAGTCAAACTTCTGACAATATGGACAGATGAAAAGCAGAGATGGGAAGAGTCAGAGAAGAGAAGAGAAGAAGAAAGAAGATCAAAAAAGAGAAAGTTTCAGAAGAAAGAAGATCCAGGTGCGCGAAAAGGTAGGAAAGTCGCGAAACACTGTGTTTTTCCAATGATTTGTGGCTCCGGAGGGTCGAAAAGTAGGCTCGCTAAAGCGGCGGGTGCGGAGCCAGCTGGCCAGATGAGAGATGAAAAATTGCACGCCGCTGTGGCGCGAAGCGCATTTCCAAGTCAATATGCACAAAACACACCAACATCGGACCACTTTTCGAAGTTGCGATGTCGAAAAAGTGAACGCCGTTGTGGCGCAAAGCACATGTCGAAGTCAAAAGTGCAAAAAACTGACGGGTTCAGAGCGACTGTTGGAAGTTGAGATGTCGAAAAAGTGCACGTCGTTGTGGCGCGAAGCACATGTCGAAATCAAAATCTACAAAGCACCACATGCACGCACCACTTTTGGACGTTGAAGCGCCGTTTTGCGTGGCAGGCGCAAGGGATTGTGCACCTTGTCAAAAGTGAGCAAAACGTGAGGGTTTTCTAGCATTTCCAAAAACGACGGCAGGCGTGGGACATTTGACGAGGATCTGCAAAGATGCATTTTCCGTGGCAGGCGCAGTACAAGAGACATGTTCATCAGAGCTGCTAGGAGGTCCAGGCGCTGATTTCCTTAGGGTTGCATTTTGGAGCATCTCAGATCTTCAGGTTTGGGAAGATGCTTTTGCGTGACAGGTGCAGCACTCCATATGACCTGGCATCACTTTTTCATGGCATGCGCACTACTTTAGACAGGTAGAGTGGAAAAATCGCAAAACGCGTTGGTACGAGGCCGTCAGCTTTGCACTCAACTTTCCATTTCTGAAGGAAGCCTCGCAGAGTTGTTTTGTTTTTGATGTTGTGAATTTCAAAAATTGAGGAAGTCTCACAGAATTGCTTCGTTTTTGATGTTGCCAACTTCAAAATTTGAGGAAGTCTCGCAGACATGCTTCCCTTTTGACGTTATCAAGCTCAAAAGTTGAGGAAGTCTCGCAGAATAGCTTCGTTTTCAAGCTTGCAGATTGCAGGTAGACAGGTAGATAGACAACTACAACTACCACTACCACTACACTACACTTCTACTACAACTACAAATACAAATAAACTACGCTACTTCACACTACACTACACTTATTGCATCTAATTACACTAGACTAATTATACAACAACAACAACAACAGCAACAACAACAGCAACAACAACAACAACAACAACCTACTACTACTACTACTACTTCTTCTACTACTACTACTACTACTATTACTACTACTACTACTACTACTACTACTACTACTACTACGACTATACTACTACTACTACTACTACTACTACTACTACTATAGTAGTAGCTACTACTACTACTACTACTACGACTACGACTACGACTACGACTACGACTATACGACACGACTACGACTATACGACTATACGACTATATGACTATACGACTATACGACTATACGACTACGACTATACGACTAATACGACTATACGACTACGACTACGACTACGACCACCACCACCACCACCACCACCACCACAGCTACAACAACAATATCAGTTACACCGACACTGCACTAATTACACTGCAGCACACTTATACAAATACACATGCAACTACAACTACACTACAGTACACAACTCTACACTAATTACACTACATTACGCTACAACTACAGCTACAACCACAGCTGCAACCACAATTGTAACTACCACTACACTGCACTACACGACACTATACTAATTACACTACACCACACTACAACTACAACTACACTACCTTCCACTACACTAGACTACGCTACACTATACCGCACTACAGTACACACAATTACAGTACACTACAATACACTACACTAATTACACCACACTACAACTACAACTACAACTGCACTACACCACACTACATCCAGCAGTTGTGGGTGAGGTGACCACTGCGACCACTGCAACCACTCCGAAAAACACAACTTCAACCACCTTTCGGTCCATCAGTGGATTCGCTCTGCCATCCGTGCTTCACAACAACCAACCTCCCCTATAGGTTTCCTATTTTTGAAACTTCCGCCACCGCCTTGCGCAGTACTACTGGTAATTGGGATACAGTGGTTTATAAGCCAGCTACTAGCCAGTTAGCTAATCCCATGGCCCATCTAACTAACCCTTTGTTTTAGGTTTCTTGGGTTTGCCATTGTTGTACCTGCTGAAACTATCCTCTTCCAGAGCCTGAAATCTACGTGGTGTTGTGTGGGCGATGGTACTCCACAATAATCCACATCAATCTGCCAACGGGGAACTGTTTTCAAGCAACCCAATTAAAGAGAGGAAACAAAAGTTTCAAATATGCTTAAGTGGGCCTCCCGATCTTGGGCCCCGATATTTTTCCTGCAAATTCTCGCCTCAAAATTGCTCTTGCAACATGTTCGTGCATTTCGATTGCGCAGGCTCGCACAAAGTCTGCGCCGTGGGGTTCTCAAGCTCTTGGCCTGCGGCATTTCGTGGTAAATTATCGCATAAACGGGCTCTTGTGGAGATCCGGCTAAATTTCTTAAGAGGTCCTTGCATGATCCTGCGCAGGTCCTTAACAGAAAATCAGTAATCTTGTGGAGATCCTGGTGAGATCCTCTCTAGGAGGTCCTTCCATGAAGATCTTGCAGATGCCATGTCTTACAGGTGCTTGCATGAAAGCTCTTGTGGAGGCTCTTGGGAGGTTCTTGTATCAAGGCCTTCGTAAGATCTGCTCCAGCAGCAGCAGGTCCTTTTATGACGATCGTGTGAGCTTCTCTTAGGCGTCCTGGCGTGAAGATTTTGGTCAAGGTCTTTTACAAATCCTTGTGAGAAGCTCTTGTGGAGATCCTAGTGAAATGCTGCTAGAGGCCTTTGCATGACCTTGTGCAGGTCCTTGCGAGAAGCTCTTTAAGAGGTGATGGCGAAATCCTCTAGGTGTCCTTACATGATCTCATGCAGGTCCTTGTGCGCAGATCTTGTGGAGATCCTGTCGACATGTATGAAAATTCTTCTGGGATGCTCACAGGAAGTTCTTGTATGAAGATATTGCGAGCTCCTTTATATTGATCTCCTGCTGCTCCAGTTCCGATCACGTCTAACCTCATCTGTTTCTGTTCCATAGCTACTGCTGCTTGTATCTGGTACATTGACCTCCCACCCTCCACACTGTTTAGGGGTCTCTTGCCGTTGTACTTGTTTTTTTAGTGCAGCACAATTCCCAAATCAGAGTATTGTATTTTTACTGAATGATATTTGGAACATGTTGCTTTGGTCCAGTACAGACCTCCATGGCTTTGCTTTAGATTTTTCTATATGACCAAGGTTCAAACTTGAAAGCCTCTTTCGATGGATGATTATACCGGAAATATATTCTCACAATCCATGAGCTAGAAAATCCGTTCTTAACCAACAAGCAAGAAGAGACGACAGTACAGGTTTTGAACACTGTTCATAATTCGCCAGGACGGAAGCCACACACCATCCAAATTTCACGGCCTGAGTGTGCCTGGATTGTGGCAGGGTCAACTCTACTGAGGAAAGCATAACCATAGCACGGTATGTAAAAAATGCAAACACTAATTTTGAGTGAGCAAGCTGCGCAAACATGAGCTAAACTCCAGAATCAGCTACAAACTGCAGGTTGTTTCACGTTTTTTTGGGCCATCATGGCCCATATCTGTGACATTTGTTGCCATTGCCTGCATGTTCCTGTGGACTATCTTGTCGTCGGTTTAGCTTCATTCATGAAAATAATTACCAAAATTAGGCCCATACAGAACTACACAAAGGTCGCCCAGCTCAAAATTCAACGAACATGATGTGTGAATCTCAACAGGAATATAGAACACACATGCATCAGATGCAATATACAACAACGACAACAACAACAACAGCAGCAGCAACAACAACAACAATAAGAACAAACACCAAGTACACGGACGTTTCAAGTTTGCCGTCAATTTAGACCGAAAAAAGTAAGCATCAAATATGGAAGAACACAACACAATTATAGTAACATTCAAAGGCACAGAAGCTTTACCAGATCTCAGCAAACTGGACCCAGCGAAATGAGACTAAATTGCCTTTCTCTTCTTGAGGTTCGAGTAGGTGCTTGGTTCGTATTGTTTTTTTGGCAATTCACTTGTGTAGCGCGCACCCTGAGCCTGAAAAAATACGTTTCAAATTTATCAACCTGATTAAAGATGAATACACATAGCCATACATAGCCAAAATCGGGAATTAGATATCCATCCATTTGTTTTGCTGCCGTACTGTGTATACACACTGTCCAACATGATACTGATGCAAAGAAAACAGCCATGGCTCACAATCAGTGGAAGGGACTCCCCAAGCCATAGGCTTGTTGGATTCTCCTGTAGCTCATGTAATTGCAATTTTGGTGAATGTTCCTTCCCGCAGGTAAATGATAGCAATTTTGAACAGGTAAATTCCTAAGGTAAATAATTAATCTTAAGATGGGCCATATTGGGCCATTTTCCATAGCTATGATCATTTACCAGAGGGTTACTGATGGTAAGTAAGATATTATAATTGAAAATCAGCAACGATTTTCGTCAATGTTTTTTTTCATACAACAACCGTATACGATTTGCGCGGTTGCCGAGTTCCTGCAATGTTCTTGATGATATATGTGAGGTGGATAGGTCAAATGGTGAAACAATGGGATTTGGGAGTTTTTCAATTTAGACAAGCCCAAGCGTCCATTTCGACCGTGGGAACTGCGCAGCTTTTCGCCAGCGCTTCTCGTCTATGCCCGCTGTTGCACGCCCATGCCTCGTGACCCGACCCGCGGGCGCCAGGTGACACGCCGGGGCAAGAGTGATCCAGCCCCCAGCTGCAACAACGAGACCATGCTGCTTCAGTCCGGCAGCGCAGTGAATGCGGGCGATGTTCTATGGTTTTATCTACGGGGCATACTTCGGGGGCGCTGTGGTAATAACTCCGGGACACCTCTAAGATCAAATTAGTCTAAAAATAGTCCTAGGAGTAATTTAGTCAAAAATAAGGATTTAGTCTTTAGTCACTGGAGTAAATTTACTCCTTTTAGGAGTAAATTGGAAGACTAAATTTACTCCTAGGACTAAATTTACTCCCCGGACTAAATCGATATTTACTCCTTTTTGTAATGCAAACTGCATTATGAACAATGCAAACTGCATTATGAGCAATGCAAACTGCATTATGAGTAATGCAAACTGCATTATGAGCAATGCAAACTGCATTATGAGCAATGCAAACTGCATTATGGGCAATGCACTTTGCATTGCTTTGCCTAAATTTACTCCCGGAAGTTGAGCCTTGATTTACGTAATTTTTTGGGTAGTAATTTACTCCCCCGGGAGTAAATTAGTCGGGGAGTATTTTTAGACTATTTTGATCTTACAGGCATATCCCGCTGCAATATCCGCTTGCAAATATAGGATATCCAAGATTGTTGGCGGGGCTCGCGATAATAGTGACATTGGTGGTGTAACAGCTGTCCGTCGGAACGGCATCACGGGCGGCGAGGGCAAACAGCGGTTTCGATCCTGTTTGTTCCATGCCGGTCGTTCGTCAGCTTTGGATGTTTTGCCTGATCAAGTTCCATGCAAAGGTTGCCCGGGGCAACTAGTTTTTTTGTTGTGTTCCAATCGGACCACTCACTTATTTTCCATATGTTGCCAGAACACAGGAGAGCACCACCTATCGAAAGGTGTTGAAAATATTCCTGTCCGTCGTCAATGCCACAGTAGCATTGAACGCATGGCTATAGGCTATAATGTCAACCAAAAACAAACATATGTTGTAAAGTTGGGTCCGGCAAGATAGAGGGATCTTGAGTCCCACAAGGTAGGGCGGATACCATGTGGGTTTTCAAAAATTGTACTGAGAAAATGTGTCTGCAAACAGGGTATGCCACTCGGCTCAAAAGTACGAGTTTTAATTTGAACATAATAATGTCTTAAGTCTTATGTTCAAAACTGACTATTGTATGGTGCCCCACTGGGAGCTAACTTGGTTTTAACCCCCGTCAAGTATAAATATGTCCATTGTTTAAGCTATATAATATAATATAATTGTGAAAAAAAACAGGTAAAGGAAATATAGCCTGGATGATATCCCCATCATTATTTGTAATTTTCAAGAAGGTGCCCAAAAGTGTTTCCAGGGTGGTATAGGTTCTATTTAGCTCATCTTTCCAGGTTTCCAACTTAATATGAGTACCGCACGGTGTAGGTTTCAGCCGCTTTGCTCATTCACGCGAACTTTTGCCCTGGACGCATAGATGCGTCCAGGAAACTTTAGGTCTATTTGAGCGAAGCATCGGCATTGCTGTATGCAGCCTCACTCTGGCTCACTGGATTGGTGTGGCTGCAGTGGCAGCGGCTCTATAGCCAATCTACTTCCTTTGGGATTGCCATCGGGTTTTTGCGGTGATGTTGAATATTACCAGTTTTCACCCATACCCATGTTTTTTCCTGTCAATACATCAATGTCCATTTCAGGAACCTAAATTGGAGGTACCTACCACATAGAGGATATTTAAGGCCTATATAAGGCCCATACATCCTGAAATTCCCAGTGAATGGTCACACCGAGGCGTCGCCGATGTGAGGAGTCCTTGGCCAAGTGCTTGCCCTTGGACCAGGTGCACGTCCCGTGGGGTGCCCATTCATGGCCGGGGATTGGCCGGGGATTTCGTTCCAGCCCTTGAGACAAAGTGACAGTGGGGGTTAAAAACAAAAAAAAGGTGTCTGGTATGAAAATCAACAAATTTGTTGGGATAATGTCTGGGTTTACTAATGGCATATACGGTTCATTACCTATCTATTGTTTTGAAATCGTTTGGCTGATTGTTGGCTTATCGCAGTCAGTTGAGTCTCAAGGGGGAATTTCTGACTGAGTTAAACCGTTTATTTCAAGGGGACAGTTTGTAAATGATTAAGGTCAAACAACATGAATGACGAAGATGGGGATACGAATTGCTAAGTTCATGGTTCATTTACCCATTTACCAGTAGTACCGCACAAGGCGGTGGCGGAAGTTTCAGAGATAGGACACTATAGGAGAGGTGAGTTGTTGTGATGCATGGATGGCAGAGCGAAGCCGCTGATGGACCGAAAGGTGGTTGGAGTTGTGTTTTTTTGCGAGTGGTTGCCATGGTTGCAGTGGTCAGTAGTGTGGTGTAGTGTGGTGTAGTGCAGCTGTAGTTCTAGCTGTAGTGTAGTTAATTAGTGTGGTGCAGTTGCAGTTGTGGTTGTGGTGTGGTGTAATGAGTGTAGTGCAGTGTAATGTGGTGAAGTGTAGTGTGCTGTAGTGTTGCGTGCTGTAGTGTAGTCAAGTCTAGTCTAGTCTAGTGTGGTGTGGTGTGGTGTAGTGTGCTGTAATGGAGTGTAGTGTAGCGTAGTGTAATGTAATGAGCGTAGTGTAGTGTAATGTAGTTGTAGTTGACGTTGTAGTTGTCGGTGTCGTTGTCGTTGTAGTTACTGTAGTGTGGTGTGGTTTGGTGTGGTGTAGTGTGGCGTAGTGTAGTGTAGTTGTAATTAGTGTAGCGTATGTAATGCAAGTAGTGTAGTGCAATGTAATTAGTGTAGTGTAATGTAATTAGTGTAGTATTGCGCAACGTAGTGTCGCTGTAGTTGTAGATGTAGTGGTAGTGTAGCGTAGTGTAGTGTAGCGTAATTGAATGTAGTGTAGTGTAGTGGAGTGGAGTGGAGCGGAGTGGAGTGTAGTGTAGTGTAGTGTAGTAGTGAAGTGGAGTGGAGTGTAGCGTAGTGTAGTGTAGTGTAGTGTAATTAGTGCAGTGTAATGTAGTGTAGTGTAATGTAGTGTAGTGTGGAGTGGAGCGGAGTGGAGTGGAGTGGCGTGGAATCGAGTGGAGTGGAGTGAAGTGTAGCGTAGTGTAGTGTAATGTAATTAGTGTAGTGAAATGTAGTTGCTGTTGTAGTTGTAGTTGCAGTTGTAGCTGTATTGGTAGTGTAGTGTAGTGGAGTGGGGTGTAGTGTAGTGTAGGGGCGGTTGTAGCTGAAACTGCTACAGAACCCTGCGACAGAACCGTCATGTTTTACTCACTTTTGACAAGGTGCACAATCCCTTGCGCTTGCCACACGAAACGACATCTGAACGTCCAAAAGTGCTCAGTACCTGTCATTTTTTGCACTTTTGACTTGGAAATGTGCTTCGCGCCACAACGGTGTACACATTTTCGACATCTCAACTTCAAAAAGTGCTCCGACGCTGAGGTGCTTTGTAGATTTTGATTTCAAAATGTGCTTCGCGCCACAACGGCGCACACTTTTTCGACATCTCAACTTCTAAAAGTGGTCCGAAACTGAGATGGTTTGTGATTTTGACTTGGAAATGTGCTTCGCGCCACAACGGCGTGCACTTTTTCGACATCACAACTTCCAAAGGTGGTCCGGACCTGGTGTGCTTTGCACATTTTGACTTGGAAACGCGCTTCGCGCCACAACGGCGTGCAATTTTTCATCTCTCATCTGGCCACATGGCTCCGCACCCGCCGCTTTAGCGAGCCTACTTTTCGACCCGCCGGAGCAACAAATCATTGGAAAAGCATAATGCCTCGTGACTTTTCTACCTTTTCGCGCACCTGCGTCTTCTTTCTTCTCATTATTTCTCTTCTCTGATCTTCTCTCTTCTGCTCTTCTCTTCTCTGACTCTTCCCACCTCTGCTTTTCCATCTGTCCATATTGTCGGAAGTTTGACTTCCAAACTTCCATCGATAATTCAGGTACGCGTTGTGGACGTGAATTCCCATAAATGTTTGACAGCGATCCTGGGCAAATCGAAAACTTACCCAGCCAGTGGCTACACTTATTGTTTCTTCCATTGGGTCCGCACCGGCGCCTTTTAAATACCCCAAAATAAGTTTGGCAAGGCGCAAAGTTTGTTTTGACAGTGATCCTCCCTCAGTAATTACTGGGTTAACCATGGCACGACATAAGTTCGAAAATTTCAGCGTTTTCTGACCGGAGTGGTTAGTCGCTGAAACAAATGGTGCATCTTGAAGACAACAAACCAAGCTGGTCACTACTACGTTGTGAGGTCGCAAAGGCCCCCTCAAAAATATGTATCACATCTTCAAACAACATCCTATATCTTGCCAGCGCAAAAATCGGTACAAGAGGGAAATGGCAATTGTTGGTTGGCTGCTGCTGTTGCCGTTGCTGTTGCTGCTGCTGCTGTTGTTGTTGGTGGTGGTGCTGTTGGTGCTGTTGGTGCTGTCGGTGTTGTCGGTGCTGTTGGCGCTGTTAGTGCTGTTGGTGTTGTTGGTGCTGTTGGTGCTGTTGGTCCTGCTGTTGCTGCTGTTGATGCTGTTGCTGTTGTTGTTGTTGTTGCTGCTGCTGCTGCTGGTGTTGTTGTTGTTGTTGTTTACTGCAGACTTGACAGGGTCGATAACCATGTTGCCTCCAAACAGATTGTGAAGGCAAACAGTTGGGATTGTAGTGGCGTGAGATATGGGTCTGACAATGGGATATGCTGTTTCAACATGTTTAAACAATGGCATCTGAAAACATTTTAACTGGGAACGTTCTCAGATTTTATTTTGGGGGGTCCTGAATGTCTTCAGGAGGAGTCCCGAAAGCTGTTGGGGAGCCCCGGACAGATGGTCATCAACGGAAAGGGAATGATGGTTAGGTAGTAGGGCGAATGATGGTTGATGATGGTTAATGACATTTGGGTGAATAATGGTCAGCTAGTAGCGAGAACTGACCTCCAAATTACGCCAGCAAGAATAGGTGAGTGTCTGATGGCTAAACCAGATCAACCATAGCCCAGAGGGTTTTAGCATCATCCGGGACATTCAAGGGGAACATTATGATGAATGCCTTCCAATTTGGATTGCCCATGGTTTTCCCATGTCTTCACATTTTTTCTCGGACATGTTCAGACACGAAAGCTCTGGTCCAGCTTATTTCTATGGGGAGGTTCCCAAAATAGTAATATGATGATATATAATGAGATAAACTGTAAGATGAATGTTCCTTCCTTTATAAATGATACCCCCACCAATTGGTAAACGAATGGTTCATTCATCCGAGGTTGATGGCCATCGGAGCTATGGACGCCATGGCCTATGTATAGATAATTTACCTATTAAACAAATTAAACACGGTACAGGATGGGGCCCCCCAGTTGTTTGTTGGTTTATAACCCCATCTAAATACAGTTATTTGCGTATCATACGCCAACTTGTTATTGTAGCTATAAACCAACTTAGCTAACTATAGGGCCCCATCCTGTATTTTCATATTTATTTTCCATAGCTATGTTAAAATACCTGAGGGTATATCCCAAAGTGACGATTCTCTGGACGATTTCAGCGTTTCTTCTAGGGTTTTAAGCCTCTATGCCAAAGTGGCCAAAAACCCTGATCTCTTCAGTGGCGATAGACTAGCGGCACAAAGCCCAAGTTGCCAAGGCATGCGAAGTTGTCCCGCCATTTCTGCCAGATGATGGATTGCAGGCACTGTTTTGTGGTTTCAACATTTTTCAACTTATGTCCAAATTAATTAAAACAAACTAATTATATACTATGAAATGCAATGTTTGCCCATATGTTTGGCGAAAATCAATTCAGCTTACGTGGTTTACTAATTTGGGGTTGCCATATTTGTCGGATGACGACCCCAATTTTCAATTCGCAGGGGCATCACAGGAGGTCGGCTAAGGAGACGCCAGTAGAAGCGTAATAGGAAAGATAGCGTTACGCCTTGCAAGATAGTTGATTCCTGAACTTTTCTGGGTAAAGTTTGGATGGGTGCTTGAGTGAGTTGTTTATTTTTGCTATGGCCGATCGGCCGTTCACTGGGTCGTAATCTAATAGTTTGTCCTGATTTTTCACCTAAAAGAATCGTTTTCCAGGGGAGGTTCCCCATCCAAAATTTCTTAGACGATGTTGTGTCAGAAGCATGTCCCCTTTATACGCTTTATCAAAAAACCCTACTAATCCATTGGTTCCCTAATTCAATAGGGATACAGATGTCGCCATTAAATCTGTATCCACCAGAATTCCTTTCAAGTCATCGCGGGATGCCGCGATGCAGTTCCAGGCAAACTAACTCGCCCATTGACTCCATGATACCGGCCATGCTCGGACAGATTAAAGCGCATGGCACAGGGTTTGGTAAATGTCCCATGGCTTAGGGGATTTGTTTCACATCACTCAAACAAGTATCTGTTGGAGATTATATCCCCAATATTTGGGTGATGTGAAAAATTAGGACATTTACCAACCCCTGTTGCATTTTTTTTGCCCAGCTCACTATGTTTTGGTCAAATCCCCAGTCCCATTTGGAAAAAAGTTGCCCTCCCCCAATATATGGAGGGTTCCTGAATTTTAGGGCTACCCCCAATTTTAGTATTCAAAACTATGGTTTTGGGGATCCTCCATTTTAGGAAACCTTCATATTAACGTGTGGACGATTACTTTTCCATTGAGAATTGTTTGTCTTCAGGGTCTATGTTAATTTGCGAGAGGGTATCACTAAATCTCCCCATGTTTATTTCAAAAAAACGCAAAAGACCACCATTAGAAATTTCGATGTTAATCCATGTTAACCCCTATTCCTGTTGCTATATCACATTAATACATTACACCCCACAGGATGGGGCCCTATAGTTATCTAAATTGGTTTGTAACTGTGATAACAATATAGTGTATGATAGTTATATATAACTATATTTAGTATGGGGTTATAAACCAACAAACATAACTGGGAGGCCCTGTCCTCCACTTGAAATATTTAAAAATCAAAACATCATTGACCTGACTCAACTTCTCGCCAGGATCCGTGCCGAACGGCACAAGGAACAGAACCATGAGATGATGCCTGTAGTGGTTCCTTGGTGTTTTTTGGCAAGGCCATGTCGATGGAGAGATTGGTTCCTTGGGTCCTGGTACCCTGGTACATGGGTAAACACCAAAATAGCAAACGTTAATGGACGGTCATTCCCCCTATGGTGATAATAGGTATTGATTCATAGATGCAACCAGCCTTGAAAACCACAACGTTTCAATGGTCATATCATGGATATATCAGGGTGATTTGATGTGTTTGAACCAGGAAAAACAATCTAAATTTATCCAACCATTATGGGATATGATCGGATATTCCATTGGATTTGTCACTCGCTTAGAAGATCAATTTTCTATGCAATGTTGTCATTGCGAAGTTCACGAACGGATTTGTTTTTTCCGAACCATATAGCTGATTCTGCAGCGCAAAAAAAATGGAACGCTTAAATCTGTATAAGTCAGTGCACTTACCTTGGAACACTGTCTCGGGATTTACCCTCTTGTAAATTCAGAGTTTACCATGGAAAATCTCATTAATAGTGGCAATTGTCAACTATAAATGGCTATAATATGCTCTAATCGACTATAATTTGCACCCCTATCAGTTATGGCCCGAAATAACAGTTATGGATATCAGTCTGGCAAAGGGTTTGAACTGTACGTAGAATTTCCAGGGTTTTCAACTTCTGTGTATTGGTCATGCCAGAAAATGGGATCAATGAGTTATTGAGTTGTTCTGCAAATATTGCTGGTGAAGAATAGATGAAAGGTGGTCAACCTAAATGAATTGAATCCTTAAACATAAGTTTCCAAAAGTTGCAATGTTCATGATAGTTTGTCACCTCTCAAACATCAAAGATATGGTTTGAACCTAGAAACATGTGGACTGCAACTGCAGCAATGAAGACATGTGCCGTGGCTGGAAGCAAGGCCAGAGCCAACAGAGATGCTGAAGCAGTTTCAAGCATTTTGTACATTCTATGTTACACTGTTCTGTATAGTATCTATATATATATACACATGTATTTTACATATGTATATTATATATATGTTATACATATATATATATTTATATACTTATACATATATATATATATACTTACTTATATTTTACATATTATAGATTATTTATTATAGATTATGTCTTAGTTTTGATATATTGTTTATATATATATATTTAATTACATATATACACATTATAAATACATGTGTATATACATGTACATGATTCACATTTCCCACGAGGAATGTAGTTATTTTTTGTGGGTAGATGCTGCAACTTTTGACCCCAGGTCCTGATTTTAGGAACATTCCAGTATACAAGGTGGGCCCTACTCTAGTTATACTCAATTGTAAGTTGGTTTCAAAAACCCTGAACTATAGTGTCCACGAGGGCGGACATTGCTCATCTCTAGAAGGACCTCCATTAATATCCCATTATATTTGGTGGCTCATCCCATGGATCGTTGGATAGTTCACCTTAGTCATAAGTGGTTTAACTCTACCTATTCCACTAAAAAAAACAGGGGTAGAACCTACTTAGGATTCGTGGGTAGTTCGCCACCAAGTACCACTATTAAAAAAAATGCAACTTCCCGATGTTGACCAATAAAGATAACCATACTGTGGATGGGTCAGAAATCCTGCACCACCAAAAGGATGTTTGATGCGGGTCTCAAGCCCTATCATGGGATAAACAACCTATCAATTGGTGCAGTATTTCTTCCATCCACACAAGGTTTACATGTATATATGCATGTGTACATATTATATATATATCAGAGTAGATAGATGGATATGGTGCTGGATGGATAGATTGATAAACATATAGTTTCTTGGCAAATGACATTTCCAACCACCTGGATAGGTAGTTTAATCCTTGAGTTTTTTTGCTTTTCATATCATTTACCCTCTGAGCTATGGAAAATCACCATTTTTAATGGGAAAATCGATTATAAATGGCCATTTTCAATAGCTATGTTAAATTACCAGAGGGTAAATGAAAAATAATCTATACAAAAGATTACATTACCAAAGAGTGAGCATGTTTTTACATCCCATTCCCAAGGTCTTCCAAGCCAGGTTCTGCTGATCCTCGTCGTCCTGCTGGGTTTTATCGCCTTTAGCCTCACGGTTTGTTGCTGCTCGGACATGCGGAATTGATGGGCTGGGAACCTGACCCTAAAGGGTGGAAGCGAGGCACTGTTGGACTAAGAAACCATCGGACAATTATGATTTCAACTGAGAAAAATTGACACAACTAGTGGGAACTATAGTTGATTTACGATAGCTTTTAGATTGTTTATAGGCGAATTCTATGGTTTTATGGTATTTTATGGTAGATCTGTAGTTCATGGGGTCTCTAAATAACAAACCAACATGGTGACACCACCTGGGCTCTCCGATGATAAGCCATTGGGGGGTAGCCTATTTTCAGATAAACATATGTGTACATGTACATATATATATACATTTATTGTATATATTGATGTATATATTGTATATATTGTATATATTGTTTATATTGTATATATTGTATATATTGTATATATTGTATATATTGTATATATATTGTATATATATTGTATATATATTGTAAATATATTGTATATATATTTTATATATATTGTATATCTATTGTATATCTATTGTATATATATTGTATTTATATATATATATATATTGTATATATATATATTGTATATATATATTGTTTATATATACATATATATTGTATTTATATATTGTACATATATATATATATAGTTTTTATATATATATTGTATATATATTGTATATTTATATTGTATCTATATTGTATATATATTTATATATTGTTTATATATATATATATTGTATATATTGTATATTTATATTGTATCTGTATTGTGTATATATATAGTATATATATATAGTGTATATATATATAGTATATATATTGTATATATATATATTGTATATATATTGTATCTATATTGTAAATATATATATATATATATTGTATATGTCTTTAAATATATATATATATATATATGTTGTATATATATATTGTATATATTGTATATATACAATATATTGTATATATTGTATATGTTGCATATATTGTATATATTGTATATATTGTGTATATATATATAGATGTGTATTGTATATATTGTATATATTGTGTATATATATATATATAGATGTGTATTGTATATATTGTATATATATATATATTGTATATATATATTGTATTTATATTGTATATATATTGTAAATATATTGTATTTGTATATATATATATATTGTATATATATATATATATGTTGTATATATATTGTATATATATATGTTGTATATATATTGTATATATATATATGTATACTGTTTATATTGTATATATATATAGATGTATATTGTATATATTGTATATATATATATATATATATATTGTATATATTGTATATTTTGTGTATATTGTTTATATTATATATATAAATATTGTATATATTGTATATATTGTATATATTGTTTAGATTGTATATATTGTATATATTGTATATATTGTATATATATTTATATATAGTGTGTATATATTTGTAGTATACATATATATACATATGCGGACCGAGTTGATTATTGTATCTAAATCATGTCCTTTGTCCCACTATTTAACCATTAGATAGCTGATAATATGTATAGATGACGATCAATGGTATATCAAACCGGACGGCCCCTCGATGTTTCCTCAAAGGATAACACGGATATTGATATGTTCTTACGTTCTGCACCCAAACATACATGGCATTGAACATTCCCAATTGAGGCAGCTTGGTGTACAAATCTTGCATAACCAAGAATGAACCAACGGCCTTATCAGGTACCCAAGGGCCTTTCAGGCCATTATTAAGGGGGATGAATTACCTCCATTAGAAGTGTGTCAACACCATTCACAAGTTTTTGAAGACAAACATTTGACAAACATTGTTGATTATATAAATCTTATTTCTGTAAGCTCATATCCCCGCATTCTCTGCAAAGATTTACTTTTCATGACATTTCTGACATCTACCGCTGTAGATCAACGATGTTCAAGCTAGATGTCTGGCACGATGGCACGATGGCACGATGTCGGGCAGAGGTGTGGACTATTCCGACGACTTCCTCAACTATTTGGAGGAGTCACCTGTCGTGACGTCACTGGAATGATGGTGCATGTAGGGTATATAACTATGCCGAGAAGAAACCTTATGTGGGATTAGTGAAAATTGTTACCACTTACCCAGATAAATTTTGCAGATTGAATTGGGAAACACATTTGGATTTCATGGGGATTTGCTGTCCGTATGATTGCTGGTGCCCATAAAATCCCCACATGGGTTTTTTCCCCAACAGCAGAAACTTTGGGGTCTTCAGCCATAGTAAAGGTTTCGGAGCAGACCGGAGCAGCTCCAAAACCCATTCCCCCAAGGTTCCCAGGTTCCAAGTAAAGGTTCCCAAGTAAAGGTTCCCAGTTGAAGGTTCCCAAGTAAAGGTTCCCAGGTTCCCAGGTTCCCAAGTAAAGGTTCCCAATTAAAGGTTCCCAAGTAAAGGTTCCCAAGGTTCCCTCAAGGTTCCTTCAAGGTTCCCAAGGTTCCCTCAAGGTTCCCAAGGTTCCAAAGGTTCCCAAGGTTCCACAAGGTTCCCTCAAGGTTCCCAAAAGGTTCCCAAAAGGTCCCCAAAAGGTTCCCTCAAGGTTCCTTCAAGGTTCTCTGCAAGGTTCCCAAGTTTTCCAAGTAAAGGTTGTCAAGGTTCCCAAGATTATTATGTAAAGGATCCCAAGTAAACGTTGTCCAGGTTCCCAAGGTGACATTCTAAAGGTTTCTATAAGATTCCCAAGGTTAGATTGTCAAGTTTCGCTCAAGGTTCCCAAAAGGTACCCTCAAGGTTCCTTCAAGGTTTCTTCAAGGTTCCCTGAAGGTTCCCAAGTTTTCCAAGGTTCCCAATTCCCAAGGTTGTATTGTAAAGGTTCCCTCAAGGTTCCCAAGGTTACATTGTAAAAGGTTCTCAAGGGTTCCAAGGTTATATTGTCAAGGTTTCCTCAAGCTTTCCAAGGTTGCATTGTAAAGGTTCCCTCAAGGTTCCCAAGGTTACATTGTAAAGGTTCTCAAGGGTTCCAAGGTTATATTGTCAAGGTTTCCTCAAGCTTTCCAAGGTTGCATTGTAAAGGTTCCCTCAAGATTCCCAAGTTTCCCAAGTAAAGGTTGTCAAGGTTCCCAAGGTTGTATTGTAAAGGTTCCCTCAAGGTTCCTAAGTTTTCCACGTAAATGTTCTCAAGGTCCCCAAGGTTATTATGTAAAGGTTCCCAAGTAGTAGTAGTAGTAGTAGTAGTAGTAGCAGTAGTAGTAGTAGTAGTAGTAGTAGGTAGTAGTAGGTAGTAGTAGTAGGTAGTAGTAGGTAGTAGTAGGTAGTAGTAGGTAGTAGTAGGTAGTAGTAGGTAGTAGTAGGTAGTAGTAGGTAGTAGTAGTAGTAGTAGGTAGTAGTAGGTAGTAGTAGGTAGTAGTAGGTAGTAGTAGAGTAGTAGAGTAGTAGTAGAGGAGGGAGTAGTAGTAGTAGTAGTAGTAGTAGTTGTTGTAGTAGAAGCAGTAGTAGTAGGGGGGGCCGGCGGGCAGGACGGCGCAAAAATGCCCTGCATTGCTTGGTCATGAAACAAAAACTACCACGCTTATATGGAATTACTGTGTGGGATCTACGGCCGCTGCTGTCTTGCTGTTGCGGATATTCTTTGGGTTTATTTGTTGACCTTGGCTATTTACCATATGTATTTACCATATGTATTTACCGCATTTACCAAGATTTACCCATATATTTCCCATATTTACCACATGGTGTCCATGAATTTTCGAAGAAATTCATCCCCTTGGGACCCTGGGATTTTCCCAGCTACAAAGCTCCATTTCTAGTTCGACAACAAAACGTAGGTTAGATCTGCAGTGGTCTAGATTGGCAATGTGTTTTTTCAATCAAACATATGAAAACATATGAATAAATATGAAAAGACTATGAATAAAAATGAAAAAATACATAAAATTAAATTAGAACAGGACAATGGAACCATTTTTATTAAAAAAAAATATCAAAAAAAATCTCAAAATATCTCAAAATTTCTCCAATGTTGTTTTTCAAACGTGGTTTTGTGAGACTGGGTTCTGTATTGCATATTTTTCTCGACCATAGAAAATATCAAAAAAAATCAAAAAAAAAATTCTCAAAAAATCTCAAAAAAATTCAAAATCTCTGAAATTGTCTGGAAAAAAACAAAAAAACAAGAAAAAAAAACTAACGCAACCTTACAACAACTTTGCCGAGGCCAGCGGCAGAACTGCTGCCCAACTGTCAGTTGTTATCATATTTCCTTGTGTTGTCAAATGTTGAGCTTCTAGGGTGAAAGGATTTAAAACACATTTGCTTGTCACATGATGTATTGCTTTGTATTGCTTGATAACCCCAGGGAGGTCCCACTGCAAATAAATTCAAATAAAGTCAAATAAATTCAGATACAATCAAATAATTGATAATATGGGGAAATGCGTTTTTAATTGAAAAAAATATGTTGTAATATGATGCTGGTGGTCCAAAACCTTGTTGTGGGAATCCCCTAGCAATCCAACCCACCTTTTGGTTTCAATGACTAGTGGATCTCCTGGCATTTTTTGATGGGTAAAAAACATGTGATGTTTTGAAGGTTTAATCCACATGTGAGTCACAAAGACTCAGGATTGTTTTTATGTTTTTTATTTTCAGAAAAACCCATATTGTTTCATTCGCATTGTTAAATTAAATTCATCTAAATCGTTTTCTTTTGGGGTTGAATCCAAATGTTGTATCCAAAATCAAACCTGACATGATTATCATTATATATCATTATCATCATTACATGTGATGGTATTTCAGAACCCAGAATTGGTATATATACATATACGTGTACATTTACATATACATATATAATACACATGTATACATATGTAAATATATATATATATTGATTTGATTCAAATTCAAACCATGATTATTCAAGGCTCTCAACGTCTCAGGTCCAACATCATCTCTTCAAGATGTCGTAGGAGCCGAAGGGTGGTGGAATTGGAGCCGATGTCGGAGACGCAAATAACTATATTTAGATGGGATTATAAACCAACAAACATAACTGCGGAGCCCCATCCTGTAGCAATAGCCCATGTTCCCCCCATTCCTATCTTCGCGCTTTTTGCAGCTAGTGCAATTGATTCCAGTGATCAGATGTGATCAGATACTTACCCGGAGCCTTTTTAATTGTGGCCAAATATAGTGAACACACCATGTTTTCTTGGTTCCATTCCAGCACAAGGTGGTGCGCGGTCGTTTGTTGGTTTGTAAAATCCTCATGAATTGTATACCTGGTTGGTGGTTTCAAACATTTCTTATTTTTCCATTTCATATATGGGATAATCCTTCCCATTGACGAACTCATATTTTTAAAGATGAATATTGCACCACCAACCAGTTTTCAGAGGGGTAGGTCAACCACCAACCAGATACAGTGTTTATATACAGTATACTATGCCATAGACCATATAGACCCAACCGAACTCACCTAGTTCAGCCAACGGGAACCTATGGGAACCTAGTTATGTACGCTGATTTGTAACCCCCCTAGTTCGACATGTCCACCATTAATTCCAGTCATATCAGTTATAAACCAATAGAAACCTCTCATTAAAATATTCATAAATCAACTATCAATCTCATTCAATCTCCATGACTTTTGTTTGGTGCAATCCCATGAAATCTCATTTTTTTTCCATATGTTGTTGCTATTTTAGATGCCAAGAAATTGCCCTGTTCTGTTTGCCAGTCCCCTTTTGCGTAGGCGAGCCACTGAGATGCGTGAGAACACACGGAGCGTGATGCATTTGGACCGTACCAAGACCATTTAAGACCGAGCAGCTCGCCCAGCTTGAAAATATGCCCAACGTGGGATTTGATACAGGATGGGGCCCATAATTAGTTAGCTAAGTTGGTTTATACTATAATAACAATAATGTATGATACTTGTAACTATATTGAGATGGGGTTACAAACCAACTTATAACTTAGATTAATAGTTTAAGCTATCAAATCAATGCCTGGGAATATCTCATTAATGTTCATTAATCCCAGGTTGGGAATATCTCATTAATCCCATTGACTAGGTTTTTTTTGTTGGATGGATAGTTGAATCCGTTAGTCTTTTGATATCAATGGGATTATCTACGTTCACCAGCTAAGAATTCATTTTGTTTGCTGGGTATCTAAGATTGGCACTGTTGACACGATATTCAGGGATTGGGATACATAATTATTAAGCAAATTACTATGAACACTATCAACTACTATCAACCACTATCAACCACTATCAACCACTATCAACCACTATGATCCATTGATGACAAGTATTAATCAGTATGAACCTCGGCTAAACTAACAAAAGTCACTACAGAAAACTGATCGGGAAACACCAGGACAATAGTCTACTTAAATGTTGAGAAAATCAACATCCAAGTGAGTTTACAGGAGGCTAATTCAGCTGGATGGTGGTTTGGAACATAAATTTTATTTTCCCCAATAGTTGGGATGATGATCCAATCTGACGAATTCATATTTTTCAGGGGGGTAGGTATACCACCAATTAGTCAGTGTTAAATTCCATGTTCCATAGAAATAGATGGTTTACCTATTAAAAATGGTGATTTTCCATGGCGAACTGTTAGATAACCAGATGGTAAATTGGGTTTGTCAGATTCGATCAAATGTTGTTTTAAATTTATCATATTCTATCAATCTATCACATATTTTTTTGAAATTAGTAAATTAAGCAATCCCCATGTTCAATCACAAAAACATTGCTTTAATCTAGGTCAATCTTAGATGGGTAGTTTAATCCTTTAATTTTGTGGTATCAATGGGATGATCTATGTTCACCAGTTAAGGCTTTATTTTATTGCAGGGTATCTAAGATTGGCCATGTAATGCTAAGAATTGATTTGCTCTTGGAATTTCATCCGGATTTCATGGAATTGTTGCTAAGTCCTATTGAAAATCAAACTTTGTTGGGACTTATACGTCCCACCTTTTTTTAATTCCCGTCAAGAAAAATGTATTTATATGGTTGGGGAATCACTGTTTGATTTCTAATACTTGCATTGCAACTAGGGATTTGGTTTAATTACCAGAGTTCATTTAGATACACTATATATATATATATATGGCCAAATTCTAGTAATTCAGTAACCTGAAATAAGGCCATTTCAGAATGATTCCTCTTACTAACCATGATTCCAGTGAGGTCGCAGTGAGGTTATATTTTACCCAGATATATTGTTGTGTCTAAGAGCCGAGGATATCGTAAAACGGTTGTTTCAATGAATGATGAAAGAATAGCTATGGAAAATGGTCCATTTCTAGGGATTTATGATGATTTACCCATGAAAAAATGTGCTTTTCCATAGCTACGTTAAATAACCAAACGGTACTCTTTGGTAATTCAACATAGCCATGGAAAAAACAACAAAATCAGGGAAAAGATCCAACTGAATGGGCCCATCACCATAGCTAGCTTACTAGAGGGAACTCACCAAAATCCTTCGGGACGGGGATCCTTAAAAGCCGTAACCCGTTGTTTTTATCGGTCATATGGGGATGCAACTGTCGATTCCAAGGCAGGAAAGCATTGTGATTGATAAATCTGATACATGATGGTTGGTGGATTTGTTGGGGCTGTGTTCTTTTCTGGTTTAACGAATTCTATTGGGGACAATGAATTGGCTCCTTGGGGTTTCCACCAAATGACGAAATCCGCTGCAAATGGCGTCGGGCTATCCCATTGTTTAAAACCATTTAGCACCTTTGTTGTTGTCATTATTTGTCCATTGGTTTCTTTAAATGACTGGCTGTTGTATGCTGTTGTTCTGTTTTCCAATTTCAAGTTCTGCAACCTTCTTTTCCGGAGCTATGACAGTAGGTTTGGACTTAGACTTGGTACATGTCCAAGACCTTGGAAGTGTGAAAAACATCACCCAGTCACACCCCATGGTTGTCTGGGACACAGCGATTCTCCTCCAAGTGCTGGATGATGTTTAAACGGATCCCCAGAGGCAAAAATCAAGGGGGTAAATCCCTTCACCAACCCAACGACACCAGGTTAATATCCTTTGTTGTGGTAAATATGTACCGTTTTCCAAGTTTTTTAGTTTTAAATATATCGATATGTAACTATGGTAACTATATCCTTGAACTTGGCAAATATCATTCCTGTATTGTGATACTTTTCTAACCCAGTGAACAGTTCACTGCCTCTGTTTCGGGCACTGCTCCTTTGAAGTCATAGCTGTGACTGAAGGCACCCAAGGTGTCCACGAATAGGTCGCGAAAGGCGACAAGCGCGTACGCTGTGCGAGTGAACAGCTACAGAAGATGCCCTAACGATCACTAAATTCTGGGTCAACATTGGGTCAAATGTAAAATGTACTAACCAGAAAAAAAGACATGACAGGTGTCTAAGATTCACTATGAACATCTATGAACTCAAGTGACAATTGAATTCAGATTTTTATTAACAGCTCCAATTCAGCTGATAAATTGTAGCAAGATAGATTCCATAGACGCTGAACAGTAGCAAGATGACTCCAGGTGACAATATAGACATCCCCAACATTGGATGGGTACTTTGATCCTTTAGTTGTTTGCTAATGGAACATTTATATAACCATAAAGAGCAAACATTATTTTGTTTGTGGACTACCAAAGATTGACCACGACTTGGTGAAAAAATGGATGTGACAATAGTCAACACTACTCCTCTTTTATTTGGGACATGGTGTAGTTATTCTAAAACATTGGACGGGGGTGTCCTATTTTCCCGCAACACTGACTCCAAAACTCTCCAAAAGAAACTTATTTTTATAGTAACCACCAAAAACATAGACAAGTTAATTATGAGTAGGATTTTACATAATTTTACTTTTCTATCTCATCACTGGAAATGAACGTAACTCTCCATTCAGACTCATTAGGAATGGATACAGTATCCAAATCCCCAGCCATGCCCTTTTTCACTTTCCTAACGCAGACGAGATCGCCCACTTATGTTCAAGACTTCGTCAAAACAAAGGATTTTAAGAAGCCAAGTGATAGGGGACAGTACAATCGGTTAGATTCTGCAATATGATGGTGGATCATGAGCAACAAAAACAGTGATGGGCCATGGGATTAGCGATTCCTGGTTAGTGACTGGCTTTTTTGAACCACTGTATCCCAATTAAATGAAACAAAATATCCACTTGCTAGCTGTTAACTAACTCAATGGCCCATCAGTTGTATCATAAATCCATATAAATCCCTCGTTTTTTTATGGTGTCACTAGTGGTGATTTCTCCATATTGTCCCAGATCAGATCCCATTCTTTCCCATCCACTTACGGTGCGACGATGCCAATGCCACGCAGGCGTTGAGATCAATGGGTCGCACGGCCAGCAGCGTTGGCATGATGGAAGGCGCCCGGTTGATGGGTCCAACTGATTGGTGAAGCCGCAGGGATGGTGCACATTAGCCTCTGGTAATTTGTGACAGTTTGCGAACTTGAAGCCATGGCCCAGTCGAAATAGTTGATTTACCCATGAATAGCATGGTGATGTTCCAGTTCGTTATGTAAACGTTTACCAGAGGGTAACATACAAGATTTTTTTTTAAAAAAAAAACTGCATCCATCTTTCCAAGGTTCGGTGGATTTTCAATCCATCCAGATGTGTTTCCACATGGTTTCAAATACAGAACTTGGATGGATTCAGTAAAAACCAGATTAACATGTTCCATATGGTTACCCTCTGGTAAACTAACAGTTTGCGAACTGGAAAATGGATGAAAACGAACCATTTCTATCCATTTCTCGTTGATTTTCCCGCTTTTTTAACCATGGTCATTTTCGGGACCGGATGATCACCATATGAATCCAACGGGTCAGAAACGGGATGTCGAGCCATAGGGTGTCACTGATGATTCGTTGTCTATGATGCGTGTAAAACAAAATATGATTTCTGGTTGGTGGTTTCAAACATGACTGGATTATTGTCGATTTCATATATGGGATGTCATCCTTCCCATTGACGAACTCCATCATTTTTCATGATGGTTATTGCACCACCAAGCAGTATTAGATGCAGATGTTTTATGGATAAATTTCACCATTTTTTCAAAACCAGACTAACGATTTGTTGGGGAGTTTTTGTCGAAGTGTTTTCCATGATCAATGGGAATTTCAGGATCCTAAAATGGAGGTACGTTAGTACCATTTTTCAGGCCATATTTTGTGGGGATATTCCCTTACATAGGCCTTATATAGGCCTTATATATGGTAGGTACCTCCAATTTAGGTTTTCCATGATGAAAAAGGTACCCTCTGGTAAACGTGTACATAACGAACTGGAACATCATCATGCTACTGATGGGAAAATCAACTATTTCGACTGGGCCATGGCTTCAATAGCTATGTCGCAAATTACCAGATGGTAAATCGGGGGTGAAAAACCTCCGGATTTTTAGGGATATCTCACTGTTTTCCATGATGGTTGATTGGTAAATCTGGGGTGAAGAACTCCCTATAATTTATTGGGCCTGCAATATTAACCCACAGTCAACGTGAAAGCCTGAAAGGACTGGATGGGTCGAGAAACAGTGGTCTCTATGAAGGCTATCTAACTTTGCAGACATAGTGACATAGTGATCATTGAATTGGGATATACTTTTAGATGATTGTTAAATATGTGCATTAATACCTTATCATTGGTATTCCAGATTGGTATTCCAGATTGGTATTCCAGATTGGTATTCCAGATTGGTATAGATTGGTATTCATTGAGCATGTCTCAGCTATATGTTTGTTTATTGCATGGTATTGAAGACT